TAACCTAACTTTTTCGGCTACCTAACCCAACCTAACCTATAAAGATAGGTTAGGTTAGGTTAGGTAGGGTTGGTTAGGTTCGGTCATATATCTACGTTAATTTTAACTCCAATAAAAAAAATTGACCTCATACATAATGAAATGGGTAGCTTTATCATTTCATAAGAAAAAAATTAGAGATAATATATTAATTCATGAAAACTTGGCTTATTAGGCAAATCTGGCCTTGCATAGTAGGCTGAGAAGTGCATTCTGGCTACTAGGTACGACATATATATATATATATATATATATATATATATATCACAAAGTAACTCTTTCCTATGAGAGAATTAAACTCAGGCTAACCAGGTGGCATGAAAGTACACTAACCAATACACCAGAGTAGATCGAAGGAAGCAAAGGGTTTCCATGAGGATTTATTTCATAAAGGAATAAGCTGTCAGACCCACGCAGAGTCCTCCAGGATAGGGCTGGGATCTGGCCCCAACACGGTCTAGAGGAAGGGCTGGGATCTGGCCCCAACACGGTCTAGAGGAAGGGCTGGGATCTGGCCCCAACACGGTCTAGAGGAAGGGCTGGGATCTGGCCCCAACACGGTCTAGAGGAAGGGCTGGGGTCTGGCCCAACACGGTCTAGAGGAAGGGCTGGGGCCTGGCCCAACACGGTCTAGAGGAAGGGCTGGGATCTGGCCCCAACACGGTCTAGAGGAAGGGCTGGGATCTGGCCCCAACACGGTCTAGAGGAAGGGCTGGGGTCTGGCCCCAACACGGTCTAGAGGAAGGGCTGGGATCTGGCCCCAACACGGTCTAGAGGAAGGGCTGGGATCTGGCCCCAACACGGTCTAGAGGAAGGGCTGGGACCTGGCCCCAACACGGTCTAGAGGAAGGGCTGGGGTCTGGCCCAACACGGTCTAGAGGAAGGGCTGGGGTCTGGCCCAACACGGTCTAGAGGAAGGGCTGGGATCTGGCCCCAACACGGTCTAGAGGAAGGGCTGGGGTCTGGCCCCAACACGATCTAGAGGAAGGGCTGGGATCTGGCCCCAACACGGTCTAGAGGAAGGGCTGGGATCTGGCCCCAACACGGTCTAGAGGAAGGGCTGGGATCTGGCCCCAACACGGTCTAGAGGAAGGGCTGGGGTCTGGCCCAACACGGTCTAGAGGAAGGGCTGGGGTCTGGCCCAACACGGTCTAGAGGAAGGGCTGGGATCTGGCCCCAACACGGTCTAGAGGAAGGGCTGGGATCTGGCCCCAACACGGTCTAGAGGAAGGGCTGGGGTCTGGCCCAACACGGTCTTGAGGAAGGGCTGGGGTCTGGCCCAACACGGTCTAGAGGAAGGGCTGGGATCTGGCCCCAACACGGTCTAGAGGAAGGGCTGGGGTCTGGCCCCAACACGGTCTAGAGGAAGGGCTGGGATCTGGCCCCAACACGGTCTAGAGGAAGGGCTGGGATCTGGCCCCAACACGGTCTAGAGGAAGGGCTGGGACCTGGCCCCAACACGGTCTAGAGGAAGGCCTGGGGTCTGGCCCAACACGGTCTAGAGGAAGGGCTGGGGTCTGGCCCAACACGGTCTAGAAGAAGGGCTGGGATCTGGCCCCAACACGGTCTAGAGGAAGGGCTGGGATCTGGCCCCAACACGGTCTAGAGGAAGGGCTGGGGTCTGGCCCAACACGGTCTAGAGGAAGGGCTGGGATCTGGCCCCAACACGGTCTAGAGGAAGGGCTGGGGTCTGGCCCCAACACCGTATAGAGAAAAGGCTGGGGTCTGGTCTCAACACCGTATAGAGTAAAGGCTGGGGTCTGGCCCCAGCACGGTCTAGAGGAAGGGCTGGGGTCTGGTCTCAACACCGTATAGAGGAAGGGCTGGGGTCTGGCCCAACACGGTCTAGAGGAAGGGCTGGGGTCTGGTCTCAACACCGTATAGAGGAAGGGCTGGGGTCTGGCTCAACACGGTCTAGAGGAAGGGCTGGGGTCTGGCCCCAACACCGTATAGAGGAGGGGCTGAGGTCTGGCCCAACACGGTCTAGAGGAAGGGCTGGGGTCTGGTCTTAACACCGTATATAGAGGAAGGGCTGGGGTCTGACCCAACACGGTCTAGAGGAAGGGCTGGGGTCTGGTCTCAGCACCGTATATAGAGGAAGGGCTGGGGTCTGGCCCAACACGGTCTAGAGGAAGGGCTGGGGTCTAGCCCAACACAGTCTAGAGGAAGGGCTGGGGTCTGGCCCCAACACCGTATAGAGGAAGGGCTGAAGTCTGGCCCCAACATCGTATAGAGGAAGAGCTGGGGTCTGGCCCAACACGGTCTAGAGGAAGGGCTGGGGTCTGGCCCAACACGGTCTAGAGGAAGGGCTGAGGTCTGGCCCAACACGGTCTAGAGGAAGGGCTGGGGTCTGGTCTCAACACCGTATAGAGGAAAGGCTGAGGTCTGGCCCAACACGGTCTAGAGGAAGGCCTGGGGTCTGGCCAAACATGGTCTCGAGGAAGGGCTGGGGTCTGGCCCCAGCACGGTCTAGAGGAAGGGCTGGGGTCTGGTCTCAACACGGTCTACAGGAAGGGCTGGGGTCTGGCTCCAACACCGTATAGAGGAGGGGCTGAGGTCTGGCCCAACACGGTCTAGAGGAAGGGCTAGGGTCTGGCCCAACACAGTCTAGAGGAAGGGCTGGGGTCTGGCCCCAACACCGTATAGAGGAAGGGCTGGGGTTTGACCCCAACACCGTATAGAGGAAGGGCTGGGGTCTGGCCCAACACGGTCTAGAGGAAGGGCTGGGGTCTGGTCTCAACACTGTATAGAGGAAGGGCTGGGGTCTGGCCCAACACGGTCTAGAGGAAGGGCTGGGGTCTGGTCTCAACACCGTATATAAAGGAAGGGCTGGGGTCTGGCCCAACACGGTCTAGAGGAAGGGCTGAGGTCTGGCCCAACACGGTCTAGAGAAAGGGCTGGGGTCTGAACCAACACAGCCTAGAGGAAGGGCTGTTGTCTAGGAACTGACTAGAGGATCAAACCAGCAACTAGGAGGCCTGGTCAGAGACCGGGCCGCGGGGACATTGATCCCCAGAACCCTGAACAGGCTGAGTGATCTCCTCAGCTTTTAGCTGCTTCGTGTTTTCTCTCTTTACCTCTCCTCTATTCCTTCCATTCATGTTCCTCTTATTCTCTTCTTACTTCGATCTCTTCTTCATCATTCTCTTATTTTGCCATTCTACTTTCCGTCTTTTACAGTTAATCTTTCACTCTGCTCTTTCATAAAGGTTAGTTTTCGTTCTACGTAGGATAGAACACAATCATTGTTCTATAGAATGTAGTCAATAGTCTATCGAACGTAGACACATTGCAGTATAGAACATAGTCATTGTTTTATAGAAAGTAGCCATTGCTTTATACAACGCAGTCATTAAGGAATCGCTATTTTCTAACACACTGCCCTTTTCCTCAGCATTACGTTGGACAAGACATGTGGTTAATGCAACTCAGGTTAATGCTGTGATCAATCATTTGTTTCGGCTCTGGTGTTACTGGCTTCAGCCTCACTTTTCAATATATTGTTTAATATTATTATTATTGCTGATTGTTAATTTTATATTTATGTTACATATATGTTAATTCTAATGGTCTTTTTTTCTTACGCTATATACCTTGTGTATGCTCTAGTATGCTGTCTGAATGTTTATAGGTGGTCCTGTGCAAGTGACATGGGAGGAATGTGGTTTTTACAAGGAAGAGGAAAGAATGTGACTTTTCCAGGAAGAGGCGGGAGGGTTGTGGCTCTTCCAGGGAGGAGGCTGCGCAGGCAGTATGTCACTATATGCTGTTACAATGACAGTATAACTGCTTCCTAGTGGTGGCAGCCTTATCTGATGTGACCTTCCTGCCTTAGTATTATCCATTTAACACTAATTCATTTGACCTAATCTGTGGGCTCAGCCAGAGATGATATAGTGAGCGTCACTGGTTCAAACTTGCTGGCCGAGTTTGAACACTGACGCGAGATATAGGATGAAAAATGTTACTGAAAAAAAGTGTAGCTCTTATTCCCTGACATTTATGCCAAAAGTTTGAAAAAAAAAAATAGATTTTTTGGGAATTGCGACCAATTTTGGGCCGAAACCCGCTCTGATTATGTCCGCATTAGTGAACAAAATGGCCATAACTTACCAACCACTGGTGCTAGAGACTTGATTTATAGCTCAAAATTGGGAGAATCATCATGTTTCTGTAGGTCTTAAGATCTCTGTTAGGAGTCTCTGTTTATCTATCTTAACGGGATTGGAGTCACTTCTATTCCTAATCGCATCAGATATATAGTGTTCTGTATGATATTTTTGCATTATATTTGTTTTTGTCCTATTTCTGCTTGGGACTTCTGTCATTTTATGGAGGATTTTGTTATTACCTCCACTATTGTCTTGGGAATTCTTCCTATTGTGGTGGAAATATCCACTATTGTAGAAATTCTCATTATCGTTGAGCTGAGATTCTGATCAAACCACAGAATTACTATTTCAACTATCCACTCCTTCTGTGTCTCCTCATTATATGAGAACTGTGAATGCTGCATCTATTATGACATCCAATAGTTTAGTTTCTGTGAGTACAATTACATTTAGACTCTCTTCACATGGTTGTTCCTTGAATTCACTTGCCTCATTTGTGTTCAAATTAATATTTGAATAAATAACTATAAAGCTCACTTAAGTTCTGTGTGCTGGCGTTCGCTGGGCTTCCACATGCTTTAATCTCTGGGAGTGGTGAGGTCCTTTGCGTCAGACAGAACACGGAAAGGAAGGCTAACGCACGAGAGAAAGGGGGTAGACAATGTTGAAGACGAAGTGAATCTTGCAGCTGTGTGTCATCTTATGCAAGGTTCCCTTTCTCCTTGGATTCCATCATTTCTATTTTAAAAATTCATTTATGGAATCTGTCCATACCATAAGCAGTAATGCATGGAGAAACCCCTAGGTTAGTTGTTACAGAACCGTGTTGATTGATCAATGTCTTTACAGTTCCAGTTTACGAAGGTGAGAAGACTGATCTTTGATGTCTTGTGACGGTCATGCCAGAGACCAACTACACGTGAGTATAAGACTTGTTGTGGCGAGAGGTAAACGATGAAGACATGTTGTTATGTGTTAAGATGTTGGAGTTGTCAGTGTTTGGCTTCCTGTGTGTGTGTGTGTGTGTGTGTGTGTGTGTGTGTGTGTGTGTGTGTGTGTGTGTGTGTACTCACCTAGTTGTACTCACCTAGTTGTGCTTGCGGGGGTTGAGCTCTGGCTCTTTGGTCCCGCCTCTCAACTGTCAATCAACAGGTGTACAGATTCCTGAGCCTATTGGGCTCTATCATATCTACACTTGAAACTGTGTATGGAGTCAGCCTCCACCACATCACTTCCTAATGCATTCCATTTGTCAACAACTCTGACACTAAAAAAGTTCTTTCTAACATCTCTGTGGCTCATTTGGGCACTCAGTTTCCACCTGTGTCCCCTAGTGCGTGTGCCCCTTGTGTTAAACAGCCTGTCTTTATCAACCCTGTCAATTCCCTTGAGGATCTTGAATGTGGTGATCATGTCCCCCCTAACTCTTCTGTCTTCCAACGAAGTGAGGTTTAATTCCTGTAGTCTCTCCTCGTAGCTCATACCTCACAGCTCGGGTACTAGTCTGGTGGCAAATCTTTGAACCTTTTCCATTTTAGTCTTATGCTTGACTAGATATGGACTCCATGCTGGTGCCGCATACTCCAGGATTGGTCTGACATATGTGGTATATAATGTTCTGAAAGATTCCTTACACAAGTTTCTAAAGGCCGTTCTTATGTTAGCCAACCTGGCATATGCTGCTGCTGTTATCCTCTTGATGTGAGCATCAGGGGACAGGTCTGGCGTGATATCAACCCCCAGGTCTTTCTCTCTCTCTCGGACTCTTGAAGTATTTCATCTCCCAAGTGATACCTTGTATCTGGTCTCCTGCTTCCTACCCCTATCTTCATTACATTACATTACATGTGTCATTACATGTGTGTGTGTGTGTGTGTGTGTGTGTGTGTGTGTGTGTGTGTGTGTGTGTGTGTGTGTGTGTGTGTGTGTGTGTGGTCGTGGTGAATGTTGTCGCCGTGTTTGTTTTGGCAAGGTACTTGTATTGTTACAATATTTATGTTGAGATGGTGATTGTGTTTTCTCATGGTGATTGTGTTCTCATGGTGAGTGTCTTCACGTTGAGATTGTCTTCTCGCGGTGATTGTCTTTCTTGTGGTGATTGTGTTGTCACGGTAATTGTGTTGCCACTGTGATTGTGTTGGCTTAATTATTGAGTTGTCATGGTGATTATGTTGGCATGGTGATTGTGTTGTTATGGTAATTTTTTTTTTTTGCAGGGATATTCCTGCGCGGGCCCTAAGCCTCTGGCTGGCCCACTAAGTGTTACTTGGGCGGAGTATGAGTATTTATGACTCGTATGGTCGCTTCAGTAAAATTTTGTCCCATGTATTTAACAACTTCTTCTGCTCTGTTGAATCTAAGTTGAAATGTTAATGGGTTTGCAACTGTACACTGTGTTAGATAATGTTCCAGTGGTCTGTCTGGGGTAATTGTGCTGTCATGTGAACTTTACAACCATACAATATGAAGATAATACAGAGTTAACTTAAGAATGAATAATTTGTAATAACAAAGATGGCAGATTGTGAACAGACATGGTTATTATTTTGTGATTGTGTTATTTATTGTTCTTTACAGCTTTAAGGTCACCGCCAGATATAAAGTTCCGGAGATTGACAGCGAGGAGGCTGTCTTTAACCTGTCCGTCGGAGCAGGAAGTAAGGTCTCCAGTCGTGTACACACACACACACACACACACACACACACACACACACACACACACACACACACACACACACACACACACACACACACACACACACACACACACACACACCACGGGGGATCACAAATGGGTAGAATTTCCTTCACCCCTGATGCTCCGTTACCTAGCAGTAAATAAGTACCTGGGAGTTGGACAACTGTTATGGGCTGCTTCCTGGGGGTGTGTGTGTATAAAAAAAATGACAGTTGAGAGGCGGGTCGAAAGAGCCAAAGCTCAACCCCCCGCAAGCACAATTAGGTGAATACAACTAAATGAATACAACTAGGTGAATACACACAATCCATGTTTTTCCATATAATGTTTTTCTTTGCATAAGTATAGCAATGTAAACGCTTTTAACCCTGATTATAAATTCATTTACAGCAGTGACACCAACATCGTTGTGGGTCACTATATCTGTGTTTCACTGTCAATAAAAGTATCGTTGTTTTCCATTCAAGAATACTTGCCTACACGTGTGAAGTCTTTATTTCAGTACCATTCTTCAAGGGGGAACCAGCGTGGGATGACGAGGAAGACATGACACAGGAGCGAGACAAGGAGCACGCCATCATTCTTGACACGACCACCTTCAGTAACGACAATGGCCGCGTCAGGTATGTCACCAACGAATCCTCCTAATAGAGCGTCGGTTTTTTGACGTATACTCTACCTAAGGGCAACAATTATCGTACTAGAAAATGATAGCGGCTCGCTTGAAACTGACATGCTGTCCCGTTTTCTGTTTTCGGTCCTTTCGTAGCTTAGGATAAGGGGCACTTATCCTAAGTACGACAGTTTCTTGATTGGTTTGAAGACACATGTTGAATTGATCTAGTCATTAGTGCCTGTGTCACCTTCGACCTCAATACTCTACGTTTATACATGTCCGGTAAATAAGGCTCCGATGACAAATATCAGAAAAGGTAAATTAATTCATTGTGTCGGGGGACAAGAAGCCAGAATGTATTCATAAACGTTAGGCTTATATCAAGGTCCCCCCCCCACCCACTAATCCAAGGCCGAATTACTGACCCCGCCCAGGATCCAGTCCCACAACAAGCTGACTAACTCCTTAGTCAACTCGTTCTCTTAAAAATAACGTCGCTTGTCGCTGGCATGCGCGCTATAGCCAAAAGTGGACGTAATTTTAAATGAAATCGGCTCACGAAAGTGATGTACTGTCCCGTTTTCTGTTTGAGTGTCTCTGGCTTACTCGGAAAGGTAGGATAAGAAACTTTCAATTAGCATTTTTCATGACATTTTGAAACTTAAGGAGAATTTCCCGCCCACCTAACCTACCAGAGGACTCTTAACTTACTGTTTTGGAAAAAAAAAATCCCAAATTTATTTTAATTTTTAAATTACGTCTATATTCAGACATACGGGCAAACGACCCGTATGTCCGTAATTTTTAAGAGGACAGGTTATTCATGAGTAGCTACTTACTGCTAGGTGAACAGGTGCATTACGTGATAATAAATGCGCCCAACCATTTCTGTCCCGCCCGGGATTCGAACCCGGAATTCTCGATTGTGCGGCGAGAACGAACCTGACAGTACTACCGGAACCCTTAAGAACTGACCTTAACTAAACTCCAGTATCGAAAGAAACATCTTTCCGTCCCATATCCCCGTTGAGGCGGGGCTGTTAAGAGGTCATCATGATGATACGTCATCAGACGTTTACAATGCCAAGGTCTTCTAGATCCTGGCATTTTAGAAGGCCAAGATGACTCCGTCATCCAAGGATGACTCGAACACCCGACTCGGGGAACACGAAGGTAAACAAGTAACGTTCATATTATTGATCAAATTTCTTGCTGATAAAAGAGAATTTTCCATAGTATGACTTGGAGATGTAGATGTAAAGAATTCCTTGTCAACAGGAGGTACGAGATACGGCTGTCGGAGGGCTGTGAACACAAGTTACATGAGAAGTTACTTAGCAATGGATCTGCCATTGACTTACGTCCCAGGGTGAAGTTTGTCATCGGTAAGTTAATGACCATCGCAATTTCATGTCAGATGTTGATGAATATAGTGACTTAAAACTGTGGCGGTGATTCTTTATAGTGAGGTGAAAGCTAATGTGTGTGTGTTGGTGATCTCAGGTGACTTAGAGCAGTGCAGTATGTGTGATAACCCACCTCTCAAGCCCAGTACACAGTACTCCTACCGCGTCCGCATTTCCACCTCCAGTGCCTTCAATGAGTCTGAGTGGAAGTGTTTCAGAACCGTTGGTAAGTTGTATAACACGAATGGCTTTGTATTTTTCTCATGCAATAGTAAGTTGTGGATGCACCTGTGAGTGGAAGATGTAGATATGCCTGACGGGAAGTTGTGTGGAGTCACTACAGAGGAGTGGACAGTATCCCGGGGCGCTCTCTACAGTTCTCTGTAGCAATGAGTGCTGAGTTAAGCTGCTACAATGCTGACTTAGCAGACAATACCTAGGTATCCCCCACTTCTGTTGTTAAGACCATATTGATCCAAATATTCAGGTCTCAGTACGAGAGAATTCGCAGACTCCCGGTGGTCTCAAAGCACCCGTATAAAACATTATGTATTTAGATCCAATACCTACATATATAGGCAGCACCAACCTTACACCAGACAGTGTGACAGTGGTAGCAGGTGTGGCTGCACGTGACGAATCTCCCAATCGTGAGCACTCCATGTTTAAACTCTGTGAGCAAGACCTAAGTCATGACCTAACACGATATATTACTGAATGTCCAGTAATATATCAACGCAATATAGTAATATATCGATATTACTATATTATACGAGTAATATATCAACGAGTAATATATATATATATATATATATATATATATATATATATATATATATATATATATATATATATATATATATATATATCCACCCTGGCTGACACCTATGTACACTTGGGAGCTGATCAAGCAGGTGGGGCGGCCAACCACAGGGAAACAGAAAAATCACTCAAGTACAGGCGACTGGAAGGTCAATACCTCTTTGTTCCCATAGCGTCTGAGACGCATGGCCCCTGGGGCAAGAGTGCCTTTGGATTACTCAAGGAATTGTGGTCCAAGCTCATTGACGTCACCAGAGACCCAAGGGCTTCCAGTTTTTTATTTCAGCGTCTCAGTGTGGCGATCCAGAGGGGAAATGCTTGCTGCGTCCTCGGTTCCTGTCCAGAAGCGGAGGAGCTTCAAGAGATCCATAACCTTTAGGCATTTGTCTTGTATGTTTTGTAACCTTTAAATACACACTAAAGGAAAAAAAAAAAGTGAAGGGGGGGGTAGGCGACAAGCACACAGAAGCTGTATTGGAGGGGACCCACATTCCCTCCAATGCGTTATGTGTGGTTTCCTCCGAGGCTATGGGTCCCCCTTCTTCCAGCCAGAGGTGGTACTCCCTTCCCTATTAAAATATATATATATATATATATATATATATATATATATATATATATATATATATATATATATATATATATATATATATATATATATATATATATATATATATATATATATAAGAGTCATCACCTATATATATATAGGTGATGTATATATATATATACATATATATATATACATGTATATATATATATGTCTATATATATATAGAGTCATCACATATATATATATATATATATAAGAGTCATCACCAGTGAGGACTCAATTGCCGACAGAGATGCCGCAACAGCTCAAGCCCTAAGGGAGAAACACCCACCCAGGGCTCCGCGTGAGGACGACATTGTACAAGTGGGGGCTACCGGAGCAGAACCTCTCTGGGTGGCTGAATCTGTGGTCCATAAAGCAGCCATGTCCTTCCCTACAGGATCAGCAGGTGGGTTCACAGGACTAAAACCCAACCACCTCAAGCAAATGCTCAACCCTGCACTGGGTGACATTGCAAAGAACCTCTTGGTGGAACTAACCAGATTCACCAACACATGTCTAGCTGGCAACATACCAGCGTCCATAAGACCTATCTTTTTTGGAGCATCTCTCTGTGCTCTAAAGAAAAAGGATGGAGGGATCAGGCCAATAGCTGTGGGCAATTCTCTCCGGCGTCTCGTCGCAAAGGCAGCTGCAAGAACAGTTAGTGATGCAGCGGCCAACATGCTGAAGCCAAAACAGCTCGGGTTTGGCATTCCACAAGGGTGTGAGGCGGCAGCCCATGCAGCTCGAGCCTTCATCGCCAACATCACAGACGAAAAGGCCCTTATCAAGCTAGATTTCAAAAATGCCTTCAATTTGGTGCGGAGGGATGCTGTACTCCGTGCGGTTCATAGTCATTTCCCTTCCCTCTACCCTTTTGTACATTCATGCTACAGTATGGATCTTAAGCTACTTTTTGGGGAACATGAAATTGACTCGCGAGAAGGCGTCCAACAGGGTGACCCCCTCGCTCCTCTCCTTTTCTGCTTAGTGATCAAACAAGTCACAGAGGTCCTGTCCAGCGAGCTTAACATCTGGTTCTTGGATGATGGTACCCTAGCTGGTTCCCAAGACTCCCTCCTGGAGGACATCAGAAAAATCCAGGAGCAAGGAGTAGTTTTAGGCCTCACCCTGAACCCTTCTAAATGTGAAATAATATGTTCCAACCAGGGCATCGTGGAGAGAATAGAGGGTCTTCTGCCAAATATCCATAAAACTAAACCTGAAGACAGCACACTCCTAGGAGCTCCCCTGGGGTTGAAAGCCATCGATGAGGTCCTTGATAAGAAAATCGCCGACCTTAAGAGGATGGATGGGAGGATTGAGGATATTGATGCTCATGATGCACTCTACCTCATCACCAGATGTCTGTCCCTCCCCAGGTTAACCTACTTTCTGAGGTGTTCACCATCTTACAGTAGCCAAAAACTAAGTGAGTATGACCGGTTACTGAAATCAATGCTAGAAAAAGCCCTTAACCTCTCTCTCGATGACCTACAGTGGAAACAAGCCTCTCTTCCCGTAAGACTTGGGGGCCTCGGAGTTCGAACAGCAACGCAAATCGCTGTTCCAGCCTTCCTGTCCTCCTTATCAGCATCCGACGACCTTGTGAAGGAAATTCTACCTGCCCACTTACATCAGCTGGCAGGTGTACATGATCCCAATTTTACACGCTGTGCCACAGAGTGGGCCTCTCGTGCAGGCCAATCACCTCAACCACCATCCCCAAAATCCCACAAGCAATCCAGCTGGGATGGTCCCATTGTAGACCAAGTTGCTGCAGAGTGCCTGGGTGCTGCAACAACACAACACGACATTGCTCGCCTCACAGCAGTAGCAGCACCACATGCAGGGGATTTCCTGTTAGCAACCCCAATGTCGGCAACTGGCACGCGTCTCACACCACACGCCCTCCGAATTGCTGTGGCCCTCCGCCTTGCTGCCCCAATCCACACCAGATATAGGTGTATTTGCGGCGAGGTGGTGGCTGACAGGTACGGTCACCATGGCCTACTCTGCCAAAGCACAGGGGGATGGCACTCGAGGCACAGTGAAGTTAACGACATCATCAAGAGGAGCCTCACTACAGCTGGATGCCCAGCTGAAAGAGAGCCCCGTTACCTAACGCCCCGTAACTCTGATGCTCTTATTGGTCGCCCGGATGGTATCACAGTGAACCCCTGGAAGAATGGCAAGCAGTTGGTATGGGACTACACGTGCGTATCAACCCTGGCTAACACCTACATTAACCTCAGTGTTGCACAACCAGGTGGCGCTGCCACCCACAGGGAAGCAGCCAAATCCCGTAAGTATAGAGAACTGGATCACCACTACAATTTTGTCCCCATTGCTTCTGAGACGCTCGGCGCCTGGGGTAAAAGTGCTACCAGTTTTTTGAAGGAACTGGGTTCTAGGCTCATTGAAACAACAAGGGACCCAAGAGCTGCAAGCTTTCTTTTCCAGCGCCTCAGTGTGGCGATACAGAGGGGAAATGCGCACTGCATCCAGGGTTCCTGCCCGCCATCTGAGGAGCTGGAGGAACTCGACAACCTATGACAACCATCTTTGTAACCCATATGTAACTCCTTTTTTGTAGCAAAGTTCAAATAAAGTAAATATATATATGTACATACAAAAGAATGGGGGTGGTAGGAGAAGATAATATTAGTGTTCAGTGAGAGACCACAAGGTCTCCTCTGAATACTTTTTATTTTCTTCTCCGAGGCTATGGGTCCCCACATTGGCACCAGAGGTGGTACCCTCACAAACCTTTTATATATATATATATATATATATATATATATATATATATATATATATATATATATATATATATATATATATATATATATATATATATATATATATATATATATATATATATATATATATATATATATATATATATATATATATATATATATATATATATATATTAGTATATTTTGGTAGCAGTCTTTCCTGTAGACATATATTATTAAATATGACCGAAAAAGTAAGATTAATAATTCTAACACGAATTTTCTCGATCTTTCTTATGTTTCTTTTCACTGTTGATGGTAATTGAAAAACCAATTCTCCAAAATTCATTTTTATTTCTAGTCTGACGCGACACTTGAGCGCGTTTCGTAAAACTTAATACACTTTCAAAGACTTTAGTTTACACACACACAACTGAACTATAACTGAATAGAGCTTAAACATCTTCGATTTTTTATACCTGCATTTGGGTGAGGTGATATGTTACAACAGTTTTGGATGAGGTGAAAACAAACTTTCAACACAAGACAGAACCCGAAATAATGGGTATTGAAGGTAAGAATGGAAGTAATTGCAGAGGGCCTATTGGCCCATATTTCTTGATGCTTCTATATTGGAGCGGAGTCTTGAAGTGGGTAGAATATAGTTGTGCATTAATTGGCTGTTGATTGCTGGTGTTGACTTCCTGATGTGTAGTGCCTCTCAGATGTCAAGCCGCCTGCTACCGCTGTATCTATCGATGATTTCTGCGTTGTTTGCTAAGATTTCTCTGGTGATGGTTTGGTTGTGGGAAGAGATTATATGTTCCTTAATGGAGCCTTGTTGCTTATGCATCGTTAAACGCCTGGAAAGAGATGTTGTCTTGCCTATATGCTGAGTTTTTTGAGGCTTACAGTCCCCAAGAGGGCATTTGAAGGCATAGATGACGTTGATCTCTTTTAAAGCGTTCTGCTTTCTGTCTGGAGAGTTTCTCATGAGTAGGCTGGCCGTTTTTTTGGTTTTATAGTAAATCGTCAGTTGTATCTTCTGATTTTTGTCTGTAGGGATAACGTTTCTATTAACAATATCTTTCAGGACACTTTCCTCCGTTTTATGAGCTGTGGAAAAAAAGTTCCTGTAAAATAGTCTAATAGGGGGTACAGGTGTTATGCTAGTTGTCTCTTCAGAGGTTGCATGGCGTTTCACTTTCCTTCTTATGATGTCTTCAACGAAACCATTGGAGAAGCCATCTCCACATGACCATTGGAGAAGCCATCTCCACATGACCATTGGAGAAGCCATCTCCACATGACCATTGGAGAAGCCATCTCCACATGACCATTGGAGAAGCCATCTCCACATGACCATTGGAGAAGCCATCTCCAATGGTTTCGTTGAAGACATCGTGAGGCCAGTCTTAGAGTATGCCGCCTCATCATGGAGTCCCCCATTTGAAGAAGCATATAAAGAAGCTGGAAAAGGTTCAGAGGTTTGCAACGAGACTCGTCCCAGAGTTACGAGGGATGGGGTATGAGGAGCGCCTGAAGGAACTGTGCCTTACGACACTAGAAAGAAGAAGGGAGAGGGGGGACATGATAGGAACGTATAAAATACTCAGGAAATTGACATTGGACAGAGATGAAATGTTCACACGGAATAGTAACATAACGAAGGGGACATGGGTTGAAGCTGGAAACTCAGATGAACCACAGGGATGTTAGGAAGTTTTCTTTTAGCGTGAGAGTAGTGGAAAAATGGAATGCACTTAAGGAACAGGTTGTGGAAGCAAATCCTATTCATAATTTTAAAACTAGGTATGATAGGAAAATAGGACTGTAGTCATTGCTGTAAACAACCGATGCTCAAAAGGCGGGATCCAAGAGTCAATGCTCGATCTTGCAGACACAAATAGGTGAGTACACACACACACACACACACACACACACACACACACACACACACACACACACACACACAACCACCCACATTACCCAACCAAATGTAATGTAATGAAGATAGGTGTAGGGAGCAGGAGGCCAGGTACAAGGTATCATCTGGGAGAGGAAATTCTTCAGGAGTCAGAGTAGGAAAAAGACTTGGGGGTTGATATCACGCCAGACCTGTCTCCTGCAACACATATCAAGCGGATAACATCAGCGGCATATGCCAGGCTGGCCAACATACGAACGGCATTCAGAAACTTGTGTAAAGAATCATTCAGAACTTTGTATACCACATATGTCAGGCCAATCCTGGAGTATGCAGCCCCCGCATGGAGTCCATATCTAGTCAAGGATAAGACTAAACTGGAAAAGGTTCAAAGGTTTGCCACCAGACTAGTACCCGAGCTGAGAGGTATGAGCTACGAGGAGAGACTACGGGAATTAAATCTCACTTCGCTGGAAGACAGAAGAGTTAGGGGGGGACATGATCACCACATTCAAGATTCTGAAGGGAATTGATAGGGAAGATATAGACAGTCTATTTAACACAAGGGGAACACGCACAAGGGGACACAGGTGGAAACTGAGTGCCCAAATGAGCCACAGAGATATTAGAAAGAACTTTTTTAGTGTAAGAGTGGTTGACAAATGGAATGCATTAGGGGGTGATGTGATGGAGGCTGACTCCATACACAGTTTCAAGTGTAGATATGATAGAGCCCGATAGGCTCAGGAATCTGTACACCTGTTGATTGACGGTTGAGAGGCGGGACCAAAGAGCCAGAGCTCAACCCCCGCAAACACAACTAGGTGAGTACAACTAGGTGAGTACACACACACACACACACACTGGAGTATGCGGCCCCAGCATGGAGTCCGTACTTTGTCAAGCACAAGACGAAGCTGGAAAAAGTTCAGAGGTATGCCACTAGACTAGTCCCAGAACTAAGTGGCATGAATTACGAGGAAAGGCTGCGTGAAATGCTCACGACACTGGAAGACAGAAGAGTAAGGGGAGACATGATCACTACCTACAAAACTCTCAGGGGAATTGACAAGGTAGATAAGGATAAACTATTTAACACGGGGGGTACGCGAACAAGGGGACACAGGTGGAGACTGAGTACCCAAATGAGCCACAGGGACGTTAGAAAGAACTTTTTTCAGTGTCAGAGTAGTTAACAGATGGAATGCACTAGGCAGTGATGTGGTGGAGGCTGACTCTACACAGTTTCAAATGTAGATATGATAGAGTCCAGAAGCCTCAGAGATCTGTACACCAGTTGACCGACAGTTGAGAGGCGGGACCAAACAGTCAGAGCTTAACCCCCCACAAGCACAACTAGGTGAGTACACCCACGAGAGTAAAGACCAAACTGAGCGTGTGTTCCTCCCCCCCACAGCACCTTCCGCGCCGAGGAACCTCTGGGCTCCCCATCCCACCTTCACCCAGGATCCTGCTTCCAAAAACATCAACGTGACGTGGGATCCCCCGGAGCACCCCAGTGGCGTCATATACTCATACAGTCTTAAATATAACGGAGGAGCCTGTGCAGGTGAGAGTGGTGACGTGTGCTGTGCAGGTGAGAGTGGTGACGTGTGCTGTGCAGGTGAGAGTGGTGACGTGTGCTGTGCAGGTGAGAGTGGTGACGTGTGCTGTGCAGGTGAGAGCGGTGACGTGTGCTGTGCAGGTGAGAGTGGTGACGTGTGCTGTGAAGGTGAGAGTGGTGACGTGTGCTGTGCAGGTGAGAGTGGTGACGTGTGCTGTGCAGGTGAGAGTGGTGACGTGTGCTGTGAAGGTGAGAGTGGTGACGTGTGCTCTGAAGGTGAGAGCTGTGACGTGTGCTGTGAAGGTGAGAGCGGTGACGTGTGCTGTGAAGGTGAGAGTGGTGACGTGTGCTGTGCAGGTGAGAGTGGTGACGTGTGCTGTGAAGGTGAGGGTGGTGACGTGTGCTCTGAAGGTGAGAGCTGTGACGTGTGCTGTGAAGGTGAGAGCGGTGACGTGTGCTGTGAAGGTGAGAGTGGTGACGTGTGCTGTGCAGGTGAGAGTGGTGACGTGTGCTGTGAAGGTGAGAGTGGTGACGTGTGCTGTGAAGGTGCGAGTGGTGACGTGTGCTGTGAAGGTGAGAGCTGTGACGTGTGCTGTGAAGGTGAGAGCGGTGACGTGTGCTGTGCAGGTGAGAGTGGTGACGTGTGCTGTGAAGGTGAGAGTGGTGACGTGTGCTGTGAAGGTGAGAGCTGTGACGTGTGCTGTGAAGGTGAGAGCGGTGACGTGTGCTGTGAAGGTGAGAGTGGTGACGTGTGCTGTGAAGGTGAGAGCGGTGACGTGTGCTGTGAAGGTGAGAGCGGTGACTCTTGCTGTGCAGGTGAGAGCGGTGACATGTGCTGTGAAGGTGAGAGTGGTGACGTGTGCTGTGCAGGTGAGAGCGGTGACATGTGCTGTGAAGGTGAGAGTGGTGACGTGTGCTGTGCAGGTGAGAGCGGTGACATGTGCTGTGAAGGTGAGAGTGGTGACGTGTGCTGTGCAGGTGAGAGCTGTGGCATGTGCTGTGAAGGTGAGAGTGGTGACGTGTGCTGTGCAGGTGAGAGCGGTGTCATGTGCTGTGCAGGTGAGAGTGGTGACGTGTGCTGTGAAGGTGAGAGCGGTGACGTGTGCTGTGAAGGTGAGAGTGGTGACGCGTGCTGTGAAGGTGAGAGCGGTGACGTGTGCTGTGAAGGTGAGAGTGGTGACGTGTGCTGTGCAGGTGAGAGCGGTGACATGTGCTGTGCAGGTGAGAGTGGTGACGTGTGCTGTGCAGGTGAGAGCGGTGACATGTGCTGTGCAGGTGAGAGTGGTGACGTGTGCTGTGCAGGTGAGAGCGGTGACATGTGCTGTGCAGGTGAGAGTGGTGACGTGTGCTGTGCAGGTGAGAGCGGTGACGTGTGCTGTGCAGGTGAGAGATGTGACGTGTGCTGTGAAGGTGAGAGTGGTGACGTGTGCTGTGAAGGTGAGAGCTGTGACGTGTGCTGTGAAGGTGAGAGCGGTGACGTGTGCTGTGAAGGTGAGAGTGGTGACGTGTGCTGTGAAGGTGAGAGTGGTGACGCGTGCTGTGAAGGTGAGAGCGGTGACGCTTGCTGTGAAGGTGAGAGTGGTGACACGTGCTGTGAAGGTGAGAGTGGTGACGTGTGCTGTGAAGGTGAGAGTGGTGACGTGTGCTGTGAAGGTGAGAGTGGTGACGTGTGCTGTGAAGGTGAGAGTGGTGACGTGTGCTGTGAAGGTGAGAGCGGTGACGTGTGCTGTGAAGGTGAGAGTGGTGACGTGTGCTGTGAAGGTGAGAGCGGTGACGTGTGCTGTGAAGGTGAGAGTGGTGACGTGTGCTGTGAAGGTGAGAGTGGTGACGTGTGCTGTGAAGGTGAGAGCGGTGACGTGTGCTGTGAAGGTGAGAGCGGTGACGTGTGCTGTGAAGGTGAGAGTGGTGACGCGTGCTGTGAAGGTGAGAGCGGTGACGCTTGCTGGTGAGGTGAGAGCGGTGACGCGTGCTGTGAAGGTGAGAGCGGTGACGCTTGCTGTGGAGGTGAGAGCGGTGACGCTTGCACTTCTCGGCTTACTATGCAAGGCCTGGTTTGCCTAATAGGCCGAGTGATTTTCTTTATTTAAAAAAATTGTTTCCAGTTAGTTTATTTGAACTATTTATACTATATTATATTAAGAACATAAATTATTGACATAGTTGAGTTAGTTTAGGTTTGGTTAGGTTAGGTTAGGTTAGGTTAGGTTAGGTAGGGTTGGTTAGGTTCGGTCATATATCTAAGTTAGTTTTAACACAAATTAAAACAAATTAACTCATACATAATGAAATAGATAGCTTTATCAATTCAAAAGAAAAAAAATAGAAAACTATATAAATTCAGGAAAACTTGTCTTAATAGGACAATCGGGCCTTGCATAGTAAGCTGAGAAGTGCGTTCTGGCTACTAGGTACGATATATATATATATATATATATATATATATATATATATATATATATATATATATATATATATGTATATATATGTATATATATATATATATATATATATATATATATATATATATATATATATATATATATATATATAACACAAAGTAACTCTTCCCCATGAGAGAATTAAACTCAGGCTAACCAGGTGGCAAGAAAGTACACTAACCAATACACCAGAGCAGATCGAAGGAAGCAAAGGGTTTCCATGAGGATTTTCATAAAGGAATAAGCTGTCAGACCCACGCAGATTCCTCCAGGATAGGGCTGGGATCTGGCCCCAACACTGTCTAGAGGAAGGGCTGGGGTCTGGCCCAACACGGTCTAGAGGAAGGGCTGGGATCTGGCCCCAACACGGTCTAGAGGAAGGGCTGGGGTCTGGCCCAACACGGTCTAGAGGAAGGGCTGGGATCTGGCCCCAACACGGTCTAGAGGAGGGGCTGAGGTCTGGCCCAACACGGTCTAGAGGAAGGGCTGGGATCTGGCCCCAACACGGTCTAGAGGAAAGGCTGGGATCTGGCCCAACACGGTCTAGAGGAGGGGCTGAGGTCTGGCCCAACACGGTCTAGAGGAAGGGCTGGGGTCTGGCCCCAACACGGTCTAGAGGAAGGGCTGGGATTTGGCCCAACACGGTCTAGAGGAAGGGCTGGGGTCTGGCCCAACACGGTCTAGAGGAAGGGCTGGGATCTGGCCCAACACGGTCTAGAGGAAGGGCTGGGGTCTGGCCCCAACACGGTCTAGAGGAAGGGCTGGGATCTGGCCCCAACACGGTCTAGAGGAAGGGCTGGGGTCTGGCCCCAACACGGTCTAGAGGAAGGGCTGGGATCTGGCCCCAACACGGTCTAGAGGAAGGGCTGGGGTCTGGCCCAACACGGTCTAGAGGAAGGGCTGGGATCTGGCCCCAACACGGTCTAGAGGAAGGGCTGGGGTCTGGCCCCAACACGGTCTAGAGGAAGGGCTGGGATCTGGCCCCAACACGGTCTAGAGGAAGGGCTGGGGTCTGGCCAAACACGGTCTAGAGGAAGGGCTGGGGTCTGGCCCAACACGGTCTAGATGAAGGGCTGGGATCTGGCCCCAACACAGTCTAGAGGAAGGGCTGGGATCTGGCCCCAACATCGTATAGAGGAAGAGCTGGGGTCTGGCCCAACACGGTCTAGAGGAAGGGCTGCAGGGGTCTGGCCCAACACGGTATAGAGGAAAAGCTGGGGTCTGGTCTCAACACCGTATAGAGGAAGGGCTGGGGTCTGGCCCAACACGGTCTAGAGGAGGGGCTGAGGTCTGGCCCAACACGGTCTAGAGGAAGGGCTGGGGTCTGACCCCAACACCGTATAGAGGAAGGGATGAGGTCTGGCCCAACACGGTCTAGAGGAAGGGCTGGGGTCTGACCCCAACACCGTATAGAGGAAGGGATGAGGTCTGGCCCAACACGGTCTAGAGGAGGGGCTGAGGTCTGGCCCAACACGGTCTAGAGGAAGGGCTGAGGTCTGACCCCATCACCGTATAGAAGAAGGGCTGGGGTCTGGAACAACACGGTCTAGAGGAAGGGCTGGGGTCTGGTCTCAACACCGTATAGAGGAAGGGCTGGGGTCTGGCCCAACACGGTCTAGAGGAAGGGCTGGGGTCTGACCTCAACACGGTCTAGAAGAAGGGCTGGGGTCTGGCCCAACACGGTCTAGAGGAAGGGCTGGGGTCTGACCTCAACACGGTCTAGAGGAAGAGCTGGGGTCTGGCCCCAACACGGTCTAGAGGAAGGGCTGGGGTCTGGCCCAACACGGTCTAGAGGAAAGGCTGGGGTCTGACCTCAACACGGTCTAGAGGAAGAGCTGGGGTCTGGCCCCAACACGGTCTAGAGGAAGGGCTGGGATCTGGCCCCAACACGGTCTAGAGGAAGGGCTGGGGTCTGGCCCCAACACCGTATAGAGGAAGGGCTGGGGTCTGGCCCAACACGATCTAGAAGAAAGACTTGGGTCTGGTCTCATCACCGTATAGAGGAAAGGCTGGGGTCTGGCCTAACACGGTCTAGAGGAAGGGCTGGGATCTGGTCTAACACCATATAGAAGAAATGCTGGGGTCTGGTCCAACACGGTCTAGAGGTAGGGCTGGGGTCTGGCCCAACACGGTCTAGAGGAAGGGCTGGGGTCTGGCCCAACACAGTCTAGTGGAAGGGCTGGGGTTTGACCCCAACATGGTCTAGAGGAAGGGCTGGGGTCTGGCCCAACACGGTCTAGAGGAAGGGTTGGGGTCTGGTCTCAACACCGTATCAAGGAAAGGCTGTGGTCTGGCCCAACGCGGTCTAAAGGAAGGGCTGGGGGTCTGGCCTCAACACCGTATAGAGGAAGGGCTGGGGTCTGGCCCAACACGGTCTAGAGGAAGGGCTGGGGTCTGGTCTCAACACTGTATAGAGGAAGGGCTGGGGTCTGGCCCAACACGGTCTAGAGGAAGGGCTGGGGTCTGGTCTCAACACCGTATAGAGGAAGGGCTGGGGGTCTGGCCCAACACGGTCTCGAGGAAGGGCTTGGGTCTGGCCGATCACGGTCTAGAGAAAGGGCTGGGGTCTGAACCAACACGGCCTAGAGGAAGGGCTGGCGTCTAGGAACTGCCTGGAGGATCAGACCAGCAACTAGGAGGCCTGGTCTGAGACCGGGCCGCGGGGACATTGATCCCCAGAACCCTGAACATGCTGAGTGATCTCCTCAGCTTTTAACTGCTTCGTGTTTTCTCTCTTTACCTCTCCTCTATTCCTTCCATTCATGTTCCTCTTATTCTCTTCTTACTTCGATCTCTTCGTCATCATTCTCTTATTTTGCCATTCTACGTTCCGTCTTTTACAGTTAATCTTTCACTCTGCTCTTTCATAAAGGTTAGTTTTCGTTCTACGTTGGATAGAACACAATCATTGTTCTATAGAATGTAGTCAATAGTCTATCGAACGTAGACACATTGCTGTATAGAACATAGTCATTGTTCTATAGAAAGTAGTCATTGCTTTATACAACGCAGTCATTAAGGAATCGCTATTTTCTAACAAACTGTCCTTTTCCGCAGCATTACATTGGACAAGATATGTGGTTAATGCTGTGATTAATAATTTGTTTCCGCCCTGGTGTTACTGGCTTCAGCCTCACTTTTCAATATATTGTATATTATTATTATTATTGCTTAATTTTAATATTATATTTATGTTACATATATGTTAATTCTAATGGTCATTTTTTTCTTACACTATATACCTTGTGTATGCTCTAGTATGTTGTGTGAATGTTTATAGCTGGTCATGTGCAAGAGATATTGGAAGGAATTTGGTTCTTACAAGGGAAAAGGAAAGGATGTGGCTTTTCCAGGCAGGGGCGGGAGGGGTGTGGCTCTTCCAGGGAAGAGTGGAGGGATCTGGCTCTTCCAGGGCGGAGGCTGCGCAGGCAGTATGTCACTATATGCTGTTACAATGACCGTATAACTGCTTCCTGGTGGTGGCAGCTTTGTCTGATGTGACCCTCTTGCCTAACTAGAACTATTTAACACTCATTCATTTGACCTAATCTGGGGGCTCAGCCAGATTTGATATAGTGAGCGTCACTGGTTCAAACTTGCTGGCCGAGTTTGAACACTGACGCGAGATATAGGGTAAAAAATGTTACTGAAAAAAGTGTAGCTCTTATTCCCTGACATTTATGCCAAAAGTTTGAAAAAAAAATAGATTTTTTTGGAATTGCGACCAATTTTGGGCCGAAACCCGCTCTGATTATGTCCGCATTAGTGAACAAAATGGCCATAACTTACCAACCACTGGTGTTAGAGACTTGATTTATAGGTCAAAATTGGGAGAATCCTCATGTTTCTATAGTCTTAAGATCTCTGTTAGGGGTCTCTGTCTCTATCTTAACGGGATTGGAGTCACTTCTATTCGTAATCGCATCTGATATACAGTATAGTGTTCTGTATGATATTTTTGCATTATATTTGTTTTTGTCCTATTTCTGCTTGGGTCTTCTGTCATTTTATGGAGGATTTTGTTATTACCTGCACTATTGTCTTGGGAATTCTCACTATTGTGGTGGAAATATCCACTATTGTGGAAATTTTCATTATCCATGAACCTATCAAACCACAGAATTACTATTTCAAATATCCACTCCTTCTGTGTCTCCTCATTATATGAGAACTGTGAATGCTGCATCTATTATGACATCCAATAGTTTAGTTTCTGTGAGTACAATTACATTTAGACTCTCTTCACATGTTTGTTCCTTGAATTCACTTGCCTCATTTGTGTTCAAATTAATATTTGAATAAATAACTATAAAGCTCACTTAAGTTCTGCGTGCTGGCGTTCGCTGGGCTTCCACATGCTTTAATCTCTGGGAGTGGTGAGGTCCTTTGCGTCAGACAGAACACGGAAAGGAAGGCTAACGCACGAGAGAAAGGTGGTAGACAATGTTGAAGACGAAGTGAATCTTGCAGCTGTGTGTCATCGTATGCAAGGTTCCATTTCTCCTTGGATTCCATCATTTCTATTTTAAAAATTCATTTATGGAATCTGTCCATACCATAAGCAGTAATGCATGGAGAAACCCCTAGGTTAGTTGTTACAGTAACTTGTGGATTGATCAATGTCTTTACAGTTCCAGTTGACGAAGGTGAGAAGACTGATCTTCGATGTCTTGTGACGGTCATGCCAGAGACCAACTACACGTGAGTATAAGACTTGTTGTGGCGAGAGGTAAACGATGAAGACATGTTGTTATGTGTTAAGATGTTGGAGTTGTCAGTGTTTGGCTTCCTGTGTGTGTGTGTGTGTGTGTGTGTGTGTGTGTGTGTGTGTGTGTGTGTGTGTGTGTGTGTGTGTGTGTGTGTGTGTGTGTGTGTGTGTGTGTGTGTGTGTGTGTACTCACCTAGTTGTGTTTGCGGGGGCTGAGCTCTGGTTCATTGGTCCCGCCTCTCAACCGTCAATCAACAGGTGTACAAATTCCTGAGCCTATCGGGCTCTATCATATCTACACTTGAAACTGTGTATGGAGCCAGCCTCCACCACATCACCCCCTAATGCATTCCATTTGTCAACCACTCAGACACTAAAAAAGTTCTTTCTAATATCTCTGTGGCTCATTTGGGCACTCAGTTTCCACCTGTGTCCCCTTGTGCGTGTTCCCCTTGTGTTAAATAGACTGTCTTTATCTACCCTATCAATTCCCTTCAGAATCTTGAATGTGGTGATCATGTCCCCCCTAACTCTTCTGTCTTCCAGCGAAGTGAGGTTTAATTCCCGTAGTCTCTCCTCGTAGCTCATACCTCTCAGCTCGGGTACTAGTCTGGTGGCAAACCTTTGAACCTTTTCCAGTTTAGTCTTATCCTTGACTAGATATGGACTCCATGCTGGGGCTGCATACTCCAGGATTGGCCTGACATATGTGGTATACAAAGTTTTGAATGATTCTTTACAGAAGTTTCTGAATGCCGTTCATATGTTTTCCAGCCAGGTATATGCCGCTGATGTTATCCGCTTGATATGTGCTGCAGGAGACAGGTCTGGCGTGATATCAACCCCCAAGTCTTTTTCCTACTCTGACTCCTGAAGAATTTCCTCTCCCAGATGATACCTTGTATCTGGCCTCCTGCTCCCTACACCTATCTTCATTACATTACATTTGGTTGGGTTAAACTCTAACAACCATTTGTTCGACCATTCCTTCAGCTTGTCTAGGTCTTCTTGAAGCCTCAAACAGTCCTCTTCTGTTTTAATCCTTCTCATAATTTTAGCATCGTCCGCAAACATTGAGAGAAATGAATCGATACCTTCCGGAAGATCATTTACATATATCAGAAACAAGATAGGACCGAGTATAGAGCCCTGTGGGACTCCACTTGTGACTTCACGCCAATCGGAGGTCTCACCCCTCACCGTAACTCTCTGCTTCCTACTGCTTAGATACTCCCTTATCCACTGGAGCACCTTTCCAGCTACACCTGCCTGTCTCTCCAGCTTATGTACCAGCCTCTTATGCGGTACTGTGTCAAAGGCTTTCCGACAATCCAAGAAAATGCAGTCCGCTCAGCCCTCTCTTTCTTGCTTAATCTTTCTCACCTGGTCGTAAAATTCTATCAAGCCTGTAAGGCAAGATTTACCCTCCCTGAACCCATGTTGGCGATTTGTCACGAAGTACCTTCTCTCCAGATGTGTTACCAGGTTTTTTCTCACGATCTTCTCCATCACCTTGCATGGTATACAAGTCAAGGACACTGGCCTGTAGTTCAGTGCCTCTTGCCTGTCGCCCTTTTTGTATATTGGAACCACATTCGCCGTCTTCCATATTTCTGGGAGGTCTCTCGTCTCCAGTGACCTACTATACACTATATGTGTGTGTGTGTGTGTGTGTACTCACCTAGTTGTGTTTGCGGGGGTTGAGCTCTGGCTCTTTGGTCCCGCCTCTCAACCGTCAATCAACAGGTGTACAGATTCATGAGCCTATCGGGCTCTGTCATATCTACACTTGAAACTGTGTATGGAGTCAGCCTCCACCACATCACTTCCTAATGCATTCCATTTGTCAACCACTCTGACACTAAAAAAGTTCTTTCTAATATCTCTGTGGCTCATTTGGGCACTCAGTTTCCACCTGTGTCCCCTTGTGCGTGTTCCCCTTGTGTTAAATAGACTGTCTTTATCTACCCTATCAATCCCCTTCAGAATCTTGAATGTGGTGATCATGTCCCCCCTAACTCTGTGTGTGTGTGTGTGTGTGTGTGTGTGTGGTCGTGGTGAATGTTGTCGCCGTGTTTGTTTTGGCAAGGTACTTGTATTGTTACAATATTTATGTTGAGATGGTGATTGTGTTTTCTCATGGTGATTGTGTTCTCATGGCGAGTGTCTTCACGTGGAGATTGTCTTCTCGCGGTGATTGTCTTTCTTGTGGTGATTGTGTTGTCACGGTAATTGTGTTGCCACTGTGATTGTGTTGGCTTAATTATTGAGTTGTCATGGTGATTATGTTGGCATGGTGATTGTGTTGTTATGGTAATTTTTTTTTTTTTGCAGGGATATTCCTGCGCGGGCCCTAAGCCTCTGGCTGGCCCACTAAGTGTTACTTGGGCGGAGTATGAGTATTTATGACTCGTATGGTCGCTTCAGTAAAATTTTGTCCCATGTATTTAACAACTTCTTCTGCTCTGTTGAATCTAAGTTGAAATGTTAATGGGTTTGCAACTGTACACTGTGTTAGATAATGTTCCAGTGGTCTGTCTGGGGTAATTGTGCTGTCATGTGAACTTTACAACCATACAATATGAAGATAATACAGAGTTAACTTAAGAATGAATAATATGTAATAACAAACATGGCAGATTGTGAACAGACATGGTTATTATTTTGTGATTGTGTTATTTATTGTTCTTTACAGCTTTAGGGTCACCGCCAGATATAAAGTTCCGGAGATTGACAGCGAGGAGGCTGTCTTTAACCTGTCCGTCGGAGCAGGAAGTAAGGTCTCCAGTCGTGTACAAACACACACACACACACACACACACACACACACACACACACACACACACACACACACACACACACACACACACACACACACACACACACACACACACACACACACACACACACACACCAACATGGGTTCAGAGATGGTAAATAGTGCCTCACAGGTTTAATAGAATTTTATGACCAGGCAACGAAAATTAGGCAGGAAAGAGAAGGGTGGGCCGACTGCATTTTCCTGGATTGCCAAAAAGCCTTTGACACAGTACCCCATAAAAGGCTATTAAAAAAGTTGAAGCAACAGGCAGGAGTAAAAGGGAAGGTGCTCCAGTGGATAAGGGAGTACTTAAGCAACAGGAAACAGCGAGTAACGGTGAGGGGGAAGACATCAGAGTGGCGAGATGTCACCAGCGGAGTCCCACAGGGCTCAGTACTTGGACCCATCCTGTTTCTAATATATGTGAACGATCTTCCAGAGGGTATAGACTCATTCCTCTCGATGTTTGCTGATGATGCAAAAATTATGAGAAGAATCAAGACGGATGAAGATAGACAGAGACTACAGGATGACCTGGATAAACTGGAGGAATGGTCTAGAAAATGGCTGCTGAAGTTCAACTCTGGAAAGTGTAAGGTGATGAAATTAGGCGAAGGGAGCAGGAGGCTGAACACAAGGTATCATCTGGGAGGGGAAATCCTGCAAGAATCAAATAGAGAGAAGGATCTGGGGGTTGATATCACACCGAACCTGTCCCCAGAGGCCCACATCAAAAGAATATCATCAGCGGCATATGCTAGACTGGCCAACATAAGAACTGCCTTCAGAAACTTGTGTAAGGAATCTTTCAGAACCCTGTATACCACTTATGTAAGACCAATCCTGGAGTATGCAGCTCCAGCCTGGAGTCCATACCTAGTTAAACACAAGACAAAGTTAGAGAAGATTCAGCGGTATGCCACCAGGCTCGTCCCGGAACTGAGAGGATTGAGCTACGAGGAAAGGCTAAAGGAGCTGAACCTCACATCCCTGGAAAACAGAAGAGTAAGGGGAGACATGATAACCACCTACAAAATTCTCAGGGGAATTGACAGGGTTATCTTGAGGTTATCTTGAGATGATTTCGGGGCTTTTTAGTGTCCCCGCGGCCCGGTCCTCGACCAGGCCTCCACCCCCAGGAAGCAGCCCGTGACAGCTGACTAACACCCAGGTACCTATTTACTGCTAGGTAACAGGGGCATTCAGGGTGAAAGAAACTTTTGCCCATTTGTTTCTGCCTCGTGCGGGAATCGAACCCGCGCCACAGAATTACGAGTCCTGCGCGCTATCCACCAGGCTACGAGGCCCCCCCGAGGGTGGACAAAGACAAACTCTTCAGCACGGGTGGGACACGAACAAGGGGACACAGGTGGAAACTTAGTACCCAGATGAGCCACAGAGACGTTAGAAAGAATTTTTTCAGTGTCAGAGTAGTTAATAAATGGAATGCACTAGGAAGTGATGTGGTGGAGGCTGACTCCATACACAGTTTCAAATGTAGATATGATAGAGCCCAGTAGGCTCAGGAATCTGTACACCAGTTGATTGACAGTTGAGAGGCGGGACCAAAGAGCCAAAGCTCAACCCCCGCAAGCACAATTAGGTGAGTACAATTAGGTGAGTACACACCACGGGGGATCACAAATGGGTAGAATTTCCTTCACCCCTGATGCTCCGTTACCTAGCAGTAAATAAGTACCTGGGAGTTGGACAACTGTTATGGGCTGCTTCCTGGGGTGTGTGTGTGTGTGTAAAAAAAAAATGACAGTTGAGAGGCGGGTCGAAAGAGCCAAAGCTCAACCCCCCGCAAGCACAACTAGGTGAATACAACTAAATGAATACAACTAGGTGAATACACACAATCCATGTTTTTCCATATAATGTTTTTCTTTGCTTAAGTATAGCAACGTAAATGCTTTTAACCTTGATTATAAACTCATTTACAGCAGTGACACCAACATCGTTGGGGGTCACTGTATCTGTGTTTCACTGCCAATAAAAGTACCGTTGTTTTCCATAGAAGAATACACAGCATCGCCTACTTGCCTACACGTGTAAAGTATTTCAGAGCCATTCTTCAAGGGGTTACCAGCGTGGGATGACGAGGAAGACATGACACTGGAGCGCGACAAGGAGCACGCCATCATTCTTAACACGACGACCTTCAGTAACGACAATGGCCGCGTCAGGTAGGTCACCAACCAATCCTCCTAATAGAGCGTCGGTTTTTTGACGTATACTCTACCTAAGGGCAATAATTGTCGTACTAGAAAACGGTAGCGGCTCGCTTGAAATTGACATGCTGTCCCGTTTTCTGTTTTGGGTCCTCTGGTAGCTTAGGATAAGGGGCACTTATCCTAAGTGCGACAGTTTCTTGACTGGCTTGAAGATACATGTTGAATTGATCTAGTCATTAGTGCCTGTGTCACCTTCGACCTCAATATTCTACGTTTATACATGTCCGGTAAATAAGGCTCCGATGACAAATATCAGAAATGGTAAATTAATTCATTGTGTCGGGGGACAAGAAGCCAGAATGTATTCATAAACGTTAGGCTTATATCAAGGTCCCCCCCCCCACCCACTAATCCAAGGCCGAATTACTGACCCCGCCCAGGATCCTGTCCCACAACAAGCTGACTAACTCCTTAGTCAACTCGTTCTCTTAAAAATAACCTCGCTTGTCGCTGGTATGCGCGCTATAGCCAAAAGTGGACGTAATTTTAAATGAAATCGGCTCACGAAAGTGATGTACTGTCCCGTTTTCTGTTTGAGTGTCTCTGGCTTACTCGGAAAGGTAGGATAAGAAACTTTCAATTAGCATTTTTCATGACATTTTGAAACTTAAGGAGAATTTCCCGCCCACCTAACCTACCAGAGGACTCTTAACTTACTGTTTTGGAAAAAAAAATCCCAATTTTATTTTAATTTTTAAATTACGTCTATATTCAGACATACGGGCAAACGACCCGTATGTCCGTAATTTGTAAGAGGACAGGTTATTCAGGAGTACCTACTTACTGCTAGGTGAACAGGTGCATTACGTGATAAGAAATGCGCCCAGCCATTTCTGTCCCGCCCGGGATTCGAACCCGGAATTCTCGATTGTGCGGCGAGAACGAACCTGACAGTACTACCGGAACCCTTAAGAACTGACCTTAACTAAACTCCAGTATGGAAAGAAACATCTTTCCGTCCCATATCCCCGTTGAGGCGGGGCTGTTAAGAGGTCATCATGATGATATAGACGTTTACAATGGCAAGATCTTTTACATCTTGCCATTTTGGAAGGCCAAGATGGCTCCGTCATCCAAGGATGACTCGAACACCCGACTCGTGTTACACGAAGGTAAACAAGTAACGTTCATATTATTGATCAAATTTCTTGCTGATAAAAGAGAATTTTCCATAGTATGACTTGGAGATGTAGATGTAAAGAATTCATTGTCAACAGGAGGTACGAGATACTGCTGTCGGAGGGCTGTGACCACAAGTTACATGAGAAGTTAATTAGCAATGGATCTGCCATTAACTTACGTCCCAGGGTGAAGTTTGTCATCGGTAAGTTTGTTACCATCGCAATTTCATGTCAGATGTTGATGAATATAGTGACTTAAAACGGTGGCGTTGATTGTTCATAGTGAGGTGAAAGCTGATGTGTGTGTTGGTGATCTCAGGAAAGGACTGGGAGCGGTGCGGTGGGTGTGATAACCCACCTCTCAAGCCCAGTACACGGTACTCCTACCGCGTCCGCATCTACACCTCCAGCCACTCCAATGAGTCTGAGTCGAAGTGTTTCAGCACCGTTGGTAAGTTGTATAACACAACTAGCTTTGTATTTTTCTCATACAATCCATAACTTAGTTATGGATGGACGTGGTTGTTGAAGATGTAGATATACCTGACGGGGAGTTGTGTGGGGTCACTACAGAGAGTGGGCGGTGTCCCGGGGCGCTCTCTGCAATTCTCTGTAGCAATGAGTGCTGAGTTAAGCTGCTACACTGCTAACTTAGGAGACAATACCTAGGCATCCCCCACTTCTGTTATTAAGAACATATTGATCCAAATATTCACGTCTCGATACGAGAGAATTCGCAGACTCCCGGTGGTCTCAAAGAACCCGCATAAAAAGTAATTTGTTTAGATCCAATACCTACATATATAGGCAGCATCAAGCTTCCACCAGACAGTGTGACAGTGATAGCAGGTGTGGTTGCACGTGACGAATCTCCCAATCGTGAGCACTCCATGTTTAAACTCTGTGAGCAAGACCTAAGTCATGACCTAACACGATATATTACTGAATGTCCAGTAATATATCAACGCAATATAGTAATATATCGATATTACTATATTATACGAGTAATATATCAACGAGTAATATATATATATATATATATATATATATATATATATATATATATATATATATATATATATATATATATATATATATATATATATATATATATATATATCCACCCTGGCTGACACCTATGTACACTTGGGAGCTGATCAAGCAGGTGGGGCGGCCAACCACAGGGAAACAGCAAAATCACTCAAGTACAGGCGACTGGAAGGTCAATACCTCTTTGTTCCCATAGCGTCTGAGACGCATGGCCCATGGGGCAAGAGTGCCTTGGGATTTCTCAAGGAATTGGGGTCCAAGCTCATTGACGTCACCAGAGACCCAGGGGCTTCCAGTTTTTTATTTCAGCGTCTCAGTGTGGCGATCCAGAGGGGAAATGCTTGCTGCGTCCTCGGTTCCTGTCCAGAAGCGGAGGAGCTTCAAGAGATCCATAACCTTTAGGCATTTGTCTTGTATGTTTTGTAACCTTTAGATACACAATAAAGGAAAAAAAAAAAGGGAAGGGGGTGGTAGGAGAAAAGCACACAGAAACTGTATTGGAGGGGACCCACATTCCCTCCAATGCGTTATGTGTGGTTTCCTCCGAGGCTATGGGTCCCCCTTCTTCCAGCCAGAGGTGGTACTCCCTTCCCTATTAAAATATATATATATATATATATATATATATATATATATATATATATATATATATATATATATATATATATATATATATATATATAAATATATATATATATATATATATATATATATATATATATATATTATATATATTTATATATATATATATATATATATATATATATATATATATATATATATATATATATATATATATATATATATATTAGTATATTTTGGTAGCAGTCTTTCCTGTAGACATATATTATTAAATATGACCGAAAAAGTAAGATTAATAATTCGAACACGAATTTTCTCGATCTTTCTTATGTTTCTTTTCACTGTTGATGGTAATTGAAAAACCAATTCTCCAAAATTCATTTTTATTTCTAGTCTGACGCGACGCTTGAGCGCGTTTCGTAAAACTTAATACACTTTCAAAGACTTTAGTTTACACACACACAACTGAACTATAACTGAATAGAGCTTAAACATCTTCGATTTTTTATACCTGCATTTGGGTGAGGTGATATGTTACAACAGTTTTGGATGAGGTGAAAACAAACTTTCAACACAAGACAGAACCCGAAATAATGGGTATTGAAGGTAAGAATGGAAGTAATTGCAGAGGGCCTATTGGCCCATATTTCTTGATGCTTCTATATTGGAGCGGAGTCTTGAAGTGGGTAGAATATAGTTGTGCATTAATTGGCTGTTGATTGCTGGTGTTGACTTCTTGATGTGTAGTGCCTCTCAGATGTCAAGCCGCCTGCTACCGCTGTATCTATCGATGATTTCTGCGTTGTTTGCTAAGACTTCTCTGGTGATGGTTTGGTTGTGGGAAGAGATTATATGTTCCTTAATGGAGCCTTGTTGCTTATGCATCGTTAAACGCCTGGAAAGAGATGTTGTCTTGCCTATATGCTGAGTTTTTTGAGGCTTACAGTCCCCAAGAGGGCATTTGAAGGCATAGATGACGTTGGTCTCTTTTAAAGCGTTCTGCTTTCTGTCTGGAGAGTTTCATGAGTAGGCTGGCCGTTTTTTTGGTTTTATAGTAAATCGTCAGTTGTATCTTCTGATTTTTGTCTGTAGGGATAACGTTTCTATTAACAATATCTTTCAGGACACTTTCCTCCGTTTTATGAGCTGTGGAAAAAAAGTTCCTGTAAAATAGTCTAATAGGGGGTACAGGTGTTATGCTAGTTGTCTCTTCAGAGGTTGCATGGCGTTTCACTTTCCTTCTTATGATGTCTTCAACGAAACCATTGGAGAAGCCATCTCCACATGACCATTGGAGAAGCCATCTCCACATGACCATTGGAGAAGCCATCTCCACATGACCATTGGAGAAGCCATCTCCACATGACCATTGGAGAAGCCATCTCCACATGACCATTGGAGAAGCCATCTCCAATGGTTTCGTTGAAGACATCGTGAGGCCAGTCTTAGAGTATGCCGCCTCATCATGGAGTCCCCCATTTGAAGAAGCATATAAAGAAGCTGGAAAAGGTTCAGAGGTTTGCAACGAGACTCGTCCCAGAGTTACGAGGGATGGGGTATGAGGAGCGCCTGAAGGAACTGTGCCTTACGACACTAGAAAGAAGAAGGGAGAGGGGGGACATGATAGGAACGTATAAAATACTCAGGAAATTGACAGTGGACAGAGATGAAATGTTCACACGGAATAGTAACATAACGAAGGGGACATGGGTTGAAGCTGGAAACTCAGATGAACCACAGGGATGTTAGGAAGTTTTCTTTTAGCGTGAGAGTAGTGGAAAAATGGAATGCACTTAAGGAACAGGTTGTGGAAGCAAATCCTATTCATAATTTTAAAACTAGGTATGATAGGAAAATAGGACTGTAGTCATTGCTGTAAACAACCGATGCTCAAAAGGCGGGATCCAAGAGTCAATGCTCGATCTTGCAGACACAAATAGGTGAGTACACACACACACACACACACACACACACACACACACACACACACACACACACACACACACACACACACACACACACACACACACACACACACACAACCACCCACATTACCCAACCAAATGTAATGTAATGAAGATAGGTGTAGGGAGCAGGAGGCCAGGTACAAGGTATCATCAGGGAGAGGAAATTCTTCAGGAGTCAGAGTAGGAAAAAGACTTGGGGGTTGATATCACGCCAGACCTGTCTCCTACAACACATATCAAGCGGATAACATCAGCGGCATATGCCAGGCTGGCCAACATACGAACGGCATTCAGAAACTTGTGTAAAGAATCATTCAGAACTTTGTATACCACATATGTCAGGCCAATCCTGGAGTATGCAGCCCCCGCATGGAGTCCATATCTAGTCAAGGATAAGACTAAACTGGAAAAGGTTCAAAGGTTTGCCACCAGACTAGTACCCGAGCTGAGAGGTATGAGCTACGAGGAGAGACTACGGGAATTAAATCTCACTTCGCTGGAAGACAGAAGAGTTAGGGGGGGACATGATCACCACATTCAAGATTCTGAAGGGAATTGATAGGGAAGATAAAGACAGTCTATTTAACACAAGGGGAACACGCACAAGGGGACACAGGTGGAAACTGAGTGCCCAAATGAGCCACAGAGATATTAGAAAGAACTTTTTTAGTGTAAGAGTGGTTGACAAATGGAATGCATTAGGGGGTGATGTGATGGAGGCTGACTCCATACACAGTTTCAAGTGTAGATATGATAGAGCCCGATAGGCTCAGGAATCTGTACACCTGTTGATTGACGGTTGAGAGGCGGGACCAAAGAGCCAGAGCTCAACCCCCGCAAACACAACTAGGTGAGTACAACTAGGTGAGTACACACACACACACACACACACTGGAGTATGCGGCCCCAGCATGGAGTCCGTACCTTGTCAAGCACAAGACGAAGCTGGAAAAAGTTCAGAGGTATGCCACTAGACTAGTCCCAGAACTAAGAGGCATGAATTACGAGGAAAGGCTGCGTGAAATGCTCACGACACTGGAAGACAGAAGAGTAAGGGGAGACATGATCACTACCTACAAAACTCTCAGGGGAATTGACAAGGTAGATAAGGATAAACTATTTAACACGGGGGGTACGCGAACAAGGGGACACAGGTGGAGACTGAGTACCCAAATGAGCCACAGGGACGTTAGAAAGAACTTTTTTCAGTGTCAGAGTAGTTAACAGATGGAATGCACTAGGCAGTGATGTGGTGGAGGCTGACTCTACACAGTTTCAAATGTAGATATGATAGAGTCCAGAAGCCTCAGAGATCTGTACACCAGTTGACCGACAGTTGAGAGGCGGGACCAAACAGTCAGAGCTTAACCCCCCACAAGCACAACTAGGTGAGTACACCCACGAGAGTAAAGACCAAACTGAGCGTGTGTTCCTTCCCCACACAGCACCTTCCGCGCCGAGGAACCTGCGGGCCCCTCATCCCACCTTCACCCAGGATCCTGCTTCCAAAAACATCAACGTGACGTGGGATCCCCCGGAGCACCCCAATGGCGTCATATACTCATACAGTCTTAAATATAACGGAGGAGCCTGTGCAGGTGAGAGTGGTGACGCTTGCTGTGAAGGTGAGAGCGGTGACGCGTGCTGTGCAGGTGAGAGTGGTGACGTGTGCTGTGAAGGTGAGAGTGGTGACGTGTGCTGTGCAGGTGAGAGCGGTGACGTGTGCTGTGCAGGTGAGAGTGGTGACGTGTGCTGTGAAGGTGAGAGTGGTGACGTGTGCTGTGCAGGTGAGAGTGGTGACGTGTGCTGTGCAGGTGAGAGCGGTGACGTGTGCTGTGCAGGTGAGAGTGGTGACGTGTGCTGTGCAGGTGAGAGTGGTGACGTGTGCTGTGAAGGTGAGAGTGGTGACGTGTGCTGTGCAGGTGAGAGTGGTGACGCGTGCTGTGCAGGTGAGAGCGGTGACGTGTGCTGTGCAGGTGAGAGTGGTGACGTGTGCAGTGAAGGTGAGAGTGGTGACGTGTGCTGTGAAGGTGAGAGTGGTGACGTGTGCTGTGAAGGTGAGAGTGGTGACGTGTGCTGTGCAGGTGAGAGTGGTGACGTGTGCTGTGAAGGTGAGAGTGGTGACGTGTGCTGTGAAGGTGAGAGTGGTGACGTGTGCTGTGCAGGTGAGAGCGGTGACATGTGCTGTGAAGGTGAGAGTGGTGACGTGTGCTGTGCAGGTGAGAGCGGTGACATGTGCTGTGAAGGTGAGAGATGTGACTTGTGCTGTGCAGGTGAGAGCTGTGGCATGTGCTGTGAAGGTGAGAGTGGTGACGTGTGCTGTGCAGGTGAGAGCGGTGACATGTGCTGTGAAGGTGAGAGTGGTGACGTGTGCTGTGAAGGTGAGAGCGGTGACGTGTGCTGTGAAGGTGAGAGTGGTGACGCGTGCTGTGAAGGTGAGAGCGGTGACGTGTGCTGTGAAGGTGAGAGTGGTGACGTGTGCTGTGAAGGTGAGAGCGGTGACGTGTGCTGTGAAGGTGAGAGTGGTGACGTGTGCTGTGCAGGTGAGAGCGGTGACATGTGCTGTGCAGGTGAGAGCTGTGACGTGTGCTGTGAAGGTGAGAGGGGTGACGTGTGCTGTGAAGGTGAGAGCGGTGACTCTTGCTGTGAAGGTGAGAGTGGTGACGCGTGCTGTGAAGGTGAGAGTGGTGACGTGTGCTGTGAAGGTGAGAGCTGTGACGTGTGCTGTGAAGGTGAGAGCGGTGACGTGTGCTGTGAAGGTGAGAGTGGTGACGTGTGCTGTGAAGGTGAGAGCGGTGACGTGTGCTGTGAAGGTGAGAGTGGTGACGCGTGCTGTGAAGGTGAGAGCGGTGACGTGTGCTGTGAAGGTGAGAGTGGTGACGTGTGCTGTGAAGGTGAGAGCGGTTACGTGTGCTGTGAAGGTGAGAGTGGTGACGTGTGCTGTGAAGGTGAGAGTGGTGACGTGTGCTGTGAAGGTGAGAGCGGTGACGTGTGCTGTGAAGGTGAGAGCGGTGACGTGTGCTGTGAAGGTGAGAGTGGTGACGTGTGCTGTGAAGGTGAGAGTGGTGACGCGTGCTGTGAAGGTGAGAGCGGTGACGAGTGCTGTGAAGGTGAGAGCGGTGACGCGTGCTGTGAAGGTGAGAGTGGTGACGCGTGCTGTGAAGGTGAGAGCGGTGACGTGTGCTGTGAAGGTGAGAGTGGTGACGTGTGCTGTGAAGGTGAGAGCGGTGACGTGTGCTGTGAAGGTGAGAGTGGTGACGTGTGCTGTGAAGGTGAGAGTGGTGACGTGTGCTGTGATGGTGAGAGCGGTGACGTGTGCTGTGAAGGTGAGAGCGGTGACGTGTGCTGTGAAGGTGAGAGTGGTGACGCTTGCTGGTGAGGTGAGAGCGGTGACGCGTGCTGTGAAGGTGAGAGCGGTGACGCTTGCTGGTGAGGTGAGAGCGGTGACGCTTGCACTTCTCGGCTTACTATGCAAGGCCCGGTTTGCCTAATAGGCCGAGTGATTTTCTTTATTTAAAAAAAATTGTTTCCAGTTAGATTATTTGAACTATTATTACTATATTATATTAAGAACATAAATTATTGACATAGTTGAGTTAGTTTAGGTTTGGTTAAGATAGGTAAGGTTAGGTTAGGTTAAGATAGGTAAGATAGGTTAAGATAGGCTTTTCGACAACCTAACCTACCTAACCTAACCTAACTTTTTCAGCTACCTAACCTAACCTAACCTAAATAGATAGGTTAGGTTAGGTTAGGTAGGGTTGGTTAGGTTCGGTCATATATCTAAGTTAGTTTTAACACAAATTAAAAGAAATTAACTCATACATAATGAAATAGATAGCTTTATCAATTCAAAAGAAAAAAATAGAAAACTATATAAATTCAGGAAAACTTGTCTTAATAGGACAATCGGGCCTTGCATAGTAAGCTGAGAAGTGCGTTCTGGTTACTAGGTACAACATATATATATATGTCGTACCTAGTAGCCAGAAAGCACTTCTCAGCCTACATGCAAGGCCCGATTTGCCTAATAAGCCAAGTTTTCATGAAATAATGTTTTTTCGACTACCTAACCTACCTAACCTAACCTAACCCAACTTTTTCGGCTACCTAACCTAATCTAACCTATAAAGATAGGTTAGTTTAGGTTAGGTAGGGTTGGTTGGGTTCGGTCATATATCTACGTTAATTTTAACTCCAATAAATTTTTTTTATCTCATACATAATGAAATGGGTAGCTTTATCATTTCATAAGAAAAAAATTTGAGAAAATATATTAATTCAGGAAAACTTGGCTTATTAGGCAAATCGGGCCTTGTATAGTAGGCTGAGAAGTGCGTTCTGGCTACTAGGTACGACATATATATATATATATATATATATATATATATATATATATATATATATATATATATATATATATATATATATATATATATATATATATATATATATATATATATATATATATATATATATATATATATATATATATATATATATATATATATATATATATATATATAACACAAAGTAACTCTTCCCCATGAGAGAATTAAACTCAGGCTAACCAGGTGGCAAGAAAGTACACTAACCAATACACCAGAGCAGATCGAAGGAAGCAAAGGGTTTCCATGAGGATTTTCATAAAGGAATAAGCTGTCAGACCCACGCAGATTCCTCCAGGATAGGGCTGGGATCTGGCCCCAACACTGTCTAGAGGAAGGGCTGGGATCTGGCCCCAACACGGTCTAGAGGAAGGGCTGGGATCTGGCCCCAACACGGTCTAGAGGAAGGGCTGGGGTCTGGCCCCAACACGGTCTAGAGGAAGGGCTGGGGTCTGGCCCCAACACGGTCTAGAGGAAGGGCTGGGGTCTGGCCCAACACGGTCTAGAGGAAGGGCTGGGATCTGGCCCCAACACGGTCTAGAGGAAGGGCTGGGATCTGGCCCCAACACGGTCTAGAGGAAGGGCTGGGGTCTGGCCCCAACACGGTCTAGAGGAAGGGCTGGGGTCTGGCCCAACACGGTCTAGAGGAAGGGCTGGGGTCTGGCCCAACACGGTCTAGAGGAAGGGCTGGGATCTGGCCCCAACACGGTCTAGAGGAAGGGCTGGGGTCTGGCCCAACACGGTCTAGAGGAAGGGCTGGGGTCTGGCCCAACACGGTCTAGAGGAAGGGCTGGGGTCTGGCCCAACACGGTCTTGAGGAAGGGCTGGGATCTGGCCCAACACGGTCTAGAGGAAGGGCTGGGGTCTGGCCCCAACACGGTCTAGAGGAAGGGCTGGGATCTGGCCCCAACACGGTCTAGAGGAAGGGCTGGGGTCTGGCCCAACACGGTCTAGAGGAAGGGCTGGGGTCTGGCCCAACACGGTATAGAGGAAAAGCTGGGGTCTGGTCTCAACACCGTATAGAGGAAGGGCTGGGGTCTGGCCCAACACGGTCTAGAGGAGGGGCTGAGGTCTGGCCCAACACGGTCTAGAGGAAGGGCTGGGGTCTGACCCCAACACCGTATAGAGGAAGGGATGAGGTCTGGCCCAACACGGTCTAGAGGAAGGGCTGGGGTCTGACCCCAACACCGTATAGAGGAAACGATGAGGTCTGGCCCAACACGGTCTAGAGGAGGGGCTGAGGTCTGGCCCAACACGGTCTAGAGGAAGGGCTGGGGTCTGACCCCATCACCGTATAGAAGAAGGGCTGGGGTCTGGAACAACACGGTCTAGAGGAAGGGCTGGGGTCTGGTCTCAACACCGTATAGAGGAAGGGCTGGGGTCTGGCCCAACACGGTCTAGAGGAAGGGCTGGGGTCTGACCTCAACACGGTCTAGAGGAAGAGCTGGGGTCTGGCCCCAATACGGTCTAGAGGAAGGGCTGGGGTCTGGCCCAACACGGTCTAGAGGAAGGGCTGGGGTCTGACCTCAACACGGTCTAGAGGAAGAGCTGGGGTCTGGCCCCAACACGGTCTAGAGGAAGGGCTGGGATCTGGCCCCAACACGGTCTAGAGGAAGGGCTGGGGTCTGGCCCCAACACCGTATAGAGGAAGGGCTGGGGTCTGGCCCAACACGATCTAGAAGAAAGACTTGGGTCTGGTCTCATCACCGTATAGAGGAAAGGCTGGGGTCTGGCCTAACACGGTCTAGAGGAAGGGCTGGGATCTGGTCTCAACACCGTATAGAAGAAGGGCTGGGGTCTGGTCCAACACGGTCTAGAGGTAGGGCTGGGGTCTGGCCCAACACGGTCTAGAGGAAGGGCTGGGGTCTGGCCCAACACAGTCTAGTGGAAGGGCTGGGGTTTGACCCCAACATGGTCTAGAGGAAGAGCTGGGGTCTGGCCCAACACGGTCTAGAGGAAGGGTTGGGGTCTGGTCCCAACACCGTATAAAGGAAAGGCTGTGGTCTGGCCCAACACGGTCTAAAGGAAGGGCTGGGGTCTGGCCTCAACACCGTATAGAGGAAGGGCTGGGGTCTGGCCCAACACGGTCTAGAGGAAGGGCTAGGGTCTGGTCTCAACACTGTATAGAGGAAGGGCTGGGGTCTGGCCCAACACGGTCTAGAGGAAGGGCTGGGATCTGGTCTCAACACCGTATAGAGGAAGGGCTGGGGTCTGGCCCAACACGGTCTCGAGGAAGGGCTTGGGTCTGGCCCGATCACGGTCTAGAGAAAGGGCTGGGGTCTGAACCAACACGGCCTAGAGGAAGGGCTAGCGTCTAGGAACAGCCTGAAGGATCAGACCAGCAACTAGGAGGGCTGGTCAGAGAACGGGCCGCGGGGACATTGATCCCCCAGAACCCTCAACAGGCTGAATGATCTACTCAGCTTTTAGCCGCTTCGTGTTTTCTCTCTTTACCTCTCCTCTATTCCTTCCATTCATGCTCCTCTTATTCTCTTCCTACTTCCATCTCTTCTTCATCATTCTTCTTCCCGTCTTTTACAGTTAATCTTTCACTCTGCTCTCTCATAAAGGTTAGTTTTCGTTCTACGTTGGATAGAACATAGTCATTGTTCTATAGAACGTAGTCATTGGTCTATCGAACGTACACCCATTGCTGTATAGAACATAGTCATTGTTCTATAGAAAGTAGTCATTGCTTTATACAACGCAGTCATTAAGGAATCGCTATTTTCTAACAAACTGTCCTTTTCCGCAGCATTACATTGGACAAGATATGTGGTTAATGCTGTGATTAATAATTTGTTTCCGCCCTGGTGTTACTGGCTTCAGCCTCACTTTTCAATATATTGTATATTATTATTATTATTGCTTAATTTTAATATTATATTTATGTTACATATATGTTAATTCTAATGGTCATTTTTTTCTTACGCTATATACCTTGTGTATGCTCTAGTATGCTGTGTGAATGTTTATAGGTGGTCCTGTGCAAGTGACATGGGAGGAATGTGGTTCTTACAAGGAAGAGGAAAGAATGTGGCTTTTCCAGGAAGAGGCGGGAGGGTTGTGGCTCTTCCAGGGAGGAGGCTGCGCAGGCCGTATGTCACTATATGCTGTTACAATGACAGTATAACTGCTTCCTAGTGGTGGCAGCCTTATCTGATGTGACCCTCCTGCCTTAGTATTATCCATTTAACACTAATTCATTTGATCTAATCTGTGGGCTCAACCAGAGATGATATAGTGAGCGTCACTGGTTCAAACTTGCTGGCCGAGTTTGAACACTGACGCGAGATATAGGGTAAAAAATGTTACTGAAAAAAGTGTAGCTCTTATTCCCTGACATTTATGCCAAAAGTTAGAAAAAAATAGATTTGGGGGGAATTGCGATCAATTTTGGGCCGAAAACCGCTCTGATTATATTCACATTCGTGGACAAAATGGCCATAACTTACCAACCACTGGTGCAAAAGAGACTTGATTTATAGCTCAAAATCTGGAGAATCCTCATGTTTCTGTAGGTCTTAAGGTCTCTGATAGGGGTCTCTGTTTAACTATCTTAACTGGATTGGAGTCACTTCTATTCCTAATCGCATCTGATATATAGTGTTCTGTATATTTTGTTTTTGTCCTATTTCTGCTTGGGTCTTCTGTCACTTTAGGAAGGATTTTGTTATTACCTGCACTATTGTCTTGGGAATTCTCACTATTGTGGTGGAAATATCCACTATTGTGGAAATTTTCATTATCCATGAACCTATCAAACCACAGAATTACTATTTCAAATATCCACTCTTGTGTCTCCTTTCTCATTATATGGTAGAACTGTGAATGCTGCATCTATTATGACACCCAATAGTTTAGTTTCTGTGAGTACAATTACATTTAGATTCTCTTCACGTGTTTGTTCCTTGACTTCACTTGCCTCATTTGTGATCCAATTAATATATGAATAAATAACTATAAAGCTCACTTAAGTTCTGTGTGCTAGCGTTCTCTGGGCTTCCACATGCTTTGATCTCTGGGAGTGATGAGGTGCTTTGCGTCAGACAGAGCACGGAAAGGAAGGCTAATGCACGAAACAATGAGGGTAGACAATGTTGCAGACGAAGTGAATCTTGCATCTGTGTGTCATCGTATGCAAGGTTCCCTTTCTCCTTGGATTCCATCATTTCTATTTTAAAAATTCATGTATGGAATCTGTCCATACCATAAGCAGTAAAACAACACTGCATGCATGGAGAAACACCAGGGTTAGTTGTTACAGTAACTTGTGGATTGATCAATGTCTTTACAGTTCCAGTTAACGAAGGTGAGAAGACTGATCTTCGATGTCTTGTGACGGTCATGCCAGAGACCAAGTACACGTGAGTATAAGACTTGTTGTGGCGAGAGGTAAACGATGAAGACATGTTGTTATGTGTTAAGATGTTGGAGTTGTCATGCCTTGTGTGTGTGTGTGTGTGTGTGTGTGTGTGTGTGTGTGTGTGTGTGTGTGTGTGTGTGTGTGTGTGTGTGTGTGTGTGTGTGTGTGTGAGTGTGTGTGTGTGTGTGTGTGTGTGTGTGTGTGTACTCACCTAGTTGTACTCACCTAGTTGTGCTTGCGGGGGTTGAGCTCTGGCTCTTTGGTCCCGCCTCTCAACTGTCAATCAACAGGTGTACAGGTTCCTGAGCCTATTGGGCTCTATCATATCTACACTTGAAACTGTGTATGGAGTCAGCCTCCACCACATCACCCCCTAATGCATTCCATTTGTCAACCACTCTGACACTAAAAAAGTTCTTTCTAATATCTCTGTGGCTCATTTGGGCACTCAGTTTCCACCTGTGTCCCCTAGTGCGTGTGCCCCTTGTGTTAAACAGCCTGTCTTTATCAACCCTGTCAATTCCCTTGAGGATCTTGAATGTGGTGATCATGTCCCCCCTAACTCTTCTGTCTTCCAACGAAGTGAGGTTTAATTCCCGTAGTCTCTCCTCGTAGCTCATACCTCACAGCTCGGGTACTAGTCTGATGGCAAACCTTTGAACCTTTTCCATTTTAGTCTTATGCTTGACTAGATATGGACTCCATGCTGGTGCCGCATACTCCAGGATTGGTCTGACATATGTGGTATATAATGTTCTGAAAGATTCCTTACACAAGTTTCTAAAGGCCGTTCTTATGTTAGCCAACCTGGCATATGCTGCTGCTGTTATCCTCTTGATGTGAGCATCAGGGGACAGGTCTGGCGTGATATCAACCCCCAGGTCTTTCTCTCTCTCGGACTCTTGAAGTATTTCATCTCCCAAGTGATACCTTGTATCTGGTCTCCTGCTTCCTACCCCTATCTTCATTACATTACATTACATGTGTCATTACATGTGTGCGCGCGCGCGCGCGCGCGTGTGTGTGTGTGTGTGTGTGTGTGTGTGTGTGTGTGTGTGTGTGTGTGTGTGTGTGTGTGTGTGTGTGTGTGTGTGTGTGTGTGTGTGTGTGTGTGTGTGTGTGGTCGTGGTGAATGTTGTCGCCGTGTTTGTTTTGGCAAGGTACTTGTATTGTTACAATATTTATGTTGAGATGGTGATTGTGTTTTCTCATGGTGATTGTGTTCTCATGGTGAGTGTCTTTACGTGGAGATTGTCTGCTTGCGGTGATTGTCTCTCTTGTGGTGATTGTGTTGTCACGGTAATTGTGTTCCCACTGTGATTGTGTTGGCTTAATTATTGAGTTGTCATGGTGATTGTGTTATGGTAATTGTGTTTTTTTTTGCAGGGATATTCCTGCGCGGGCCCTAAGCCTCTGGCTGGCCCACTAAGTGTTACTTGGGCGGAGTATGAGTATTTATGACTCGTATGGTCGCTTCAGTAAAATTTTGTCCCATTTGTTTAACAACTTCTTCTGCTCTGTTGAATCTAAGTTGACATCTTAATGGGTTAGTAACTGTGCACTGTGTTAGATAATGTTCCAGTGGTCTGTCTGGGGGTAATTGTGCTGTCATGGTGAACTTTACAACCACACAATATAAAGATTATATAGAGTTAACTTAAGAATGAATAATTTGTAATAATAAACATGGCAGATTGTGAACAATGTTTATTATTTTGTGATTGTGTTATTTATTGTTCTTTACAGCTTTAGGGTCACCGCCAAAAATAAAGTTCCGGAGAATGACAGCGAGGAGGCTGTCTTTAACCTGTCCGTCGGAGCAGGAAGTAAGGTCTCCAGTCGTGTACACACACACACACACACACACACACACACACACACACACACACACACACACACACACACACACACACACACACACACACACACACACACACACACACACACACACACACACACACACACACACACACACACACACACACACACACACACGGGGATCACAAATGGCTAGAATTTCCTTCACCCCTGATGCCCCTGTTACCTAGCAGTAAATAGGTACCTGGGAGTTGGACAACTGTTATGGGCTGCTTCCTGGGGGTGTGTGTGTATAAAAAAAATGACAGTTGAGAGGCGGGTCGAAAGAGCCAAAGCTCAACCCCCCGCAAGCACAATTAGGTGAATACAACTAAATGAATACAACTAGGTGAATACACACAATCCATGTTTTTCCATATAATGTTTTTCTTTGCTTAAGTATAGCAACGTAAATGCTTTTAACCTTGATTATAAACTCATTTACAGCAGTGACACCAACATCGTTGTGGGTCACTATATCTGTGTTTCACTGTCAATAAAAGTATCGTTGTTTTCCATTCAAGAATACTTGCCTACACGTGTGAAGTCTTTATTTCAGTACCATTCTTCAAGGGGGAACCAGCGTGGGATGACGAGGAAGACATGACACAGGAGCGAGACAAGGAGCACGCCATCATTCTTGACACGACCACCTTCAGTAACGACAATGGCCGCGTCAGGTATGTCACCAACGAATCCTCCTAATAGAGCGTCGGTTTTTTGACGTATACTCTACCTAAGGGCAACAATTATCGTACTAGAAAATGATAGCGGCTCGCTTGAAACTGACATGCTGTCCCGTTTTCTGTTTTGGGTCCTCTGGTAGCTTAGGATAAGGGGCACTTATCCTAAGTACGACAGTTTCTTGATTGGTTTGAAGATACATGTTGAATTGATCTAGTCATTAGTGCCTGTGTCACCTTCGACCTCAATACTCTACGTTTATACATGTCCGGTAAATAAGGCTCCGATGACAAATATCAGAAAAGGTAAATTAATTCATTGTGTCGGGGGACAGGAAGCCAGAATGTATTCGTAAACGTTAGGCTTATATCAAGGTCTCCCCCCCCCCCCACCCACTAATCCAAGGCGAATTACTGACCCCGCCCAGGATCCCGACCCACAACAAGCTGACTAACTCCTTAGTCAACCCGTCCTCTTAAAAATAACCTCGCTTGTCGCTCGCATGCGCGCTATAGCCAAAAGTGGACGTAATTTTAAATGAAATCGGCTCACGAGAGTGATGTACTGTCCCGTTTTCTGTTTGAGTGTCTCTGGCTTACTCGGAAAGGTAGGATAAGAAACTTTCAATTAACATTTTTCATGACATTTTGAAACTTAAGGAGAATTTCCCGCCCACCTAACCTACCAGAGGACTCTTAACTTACTGTTTTGGAAAAAAAAATCCCAAATTTATTTTAATTTTTAAATTACGTCTATATTCGGACATACAGGGAAACGACCCGTATGTCCGTAATTTTTAAGAGGACAGGTTATTCATGAGTAGCTACTTACTGCTAGGTGAACAGGTGCATTACGTGATAATAAATGCGCCCAGCCATTTCTGTCCCGCCCGGGATTCGAACCCGGAATTCTCGATTGTGCGTCGAGAACGACCCCGACTGTACTACCGGAACCCTTAAGAACCTGACAGTACTACCGGAACCCTTAAGAACTGACCTTAACTAAACTCCAGTATCGAAAGAAACATCTTTCCGTCCCATATCCCCGTTGAGGCGGGGCTGTTAAGAGGTCATCATGATGATACGTCATCAGATGTTTACAATGCCAAGGTCTTCTAGATCCTGGCATTTTAGAAGGCCAAGATGACTCCGTCATCCAAGGATGACTCGAACACCCGACTCGTGGAACACGAAGGTAAACAAGTAACGTTCATATTATTGATTAAATTTCTTGCTGATAAAGAGAATTTTTCATAGTATGACTTGGAGATGTAAATAAAAAGAATTCATTGTCAACAGGAGGTACGAGATACTGCTGTCGGAGGGCTGTGACCACAAGTTACATGAGAAGTTAATTAGCAATGGATCTGCCATTGACTTACGTCCCAGGGTGAAGTTTGTCATCGGTAAGTTTGTTACCATCGCAATTTCATGTCAGATGTTGATGAATATAGTGACTTAAAACGGTGGCGTTGATTGTTCATAGTGAGGTGAAAGCTGATGTGTGTGTTGGTGATCTCAGGAAAGGACTGGGAGCGGTGCAGTGGGTGTGATAACCCACCTCTCAAGCCCAGTACACGGTACTCCTACCGCGTCCGCATCTACACCTCCAGCCACTCCAATGAGTCTGAGTCGAAGTGTTTCAGCACCGTTGGTAAGTTGTATAACACAAATAGCTTTGTATTTTTCTCATACAATCCATAACTTAGTTATGGATGGACGTGGTTGTTGAAGATGTAGATGAAGATGAAGACCTGACGGGGAGTTGTGTGGGGTCACTACAGAGAGTGGACGGTGTGCCGGGGTCTGCAATTCTCTGTAGCAATGAATGCTGAGTTAAGCTGCTACACTGCTGACTTAGGAGACAATACCTAGGTATCCCCCACTTCTGTTATTAAGAACATATTGATCCAAATATTCACGTCTCGATACGAGAGAATTCGCAGACTCCCGGTGGTCTCAAAGCACCCGCATAAAAAGTAATTTGTTTAGATCCAATACCTACATATATAGGCAGCATCAAGCTTCCACCAGACAGTGTGACAGTGATAGCAGGTGTGGTTGCACGTGACGAATCTCCCAATCGTGAGCACTCCATGTTTAAACTCTGTGAGCAAGACCTAAGTCATGACCTAACACGATATAATACTGAATGTCCAGTCTTCAGACGTGCTGGAGATCCTCTTAACACATCGATAGTTTGCCAGAGTAGACAAATGATAAAATGTCTGTCTATAACTAACCATCCTGCGAGATGGGGAAGATCTCTCAGCATCACAGAGTCAGCCCTTAGCACACTGAACACTTCATATAGTATAGGATAGCTGCATAAATTGCCATTTTTTTAGTTTTTAATAAACAAAAAGGACTGAGATGGACCCACTGAAAATGCCTTCACATGTCAGTGGCTGAAGTGTTGCGTCTGTCGGTTCACTTTTGCAGTCATCAAAGAGACATTTACCACATTAAACGTATTGTTAATATTAACAATATAATGCTAGGTTAGCATTATTTTTACACCAGAGAGTCTTGAAAACAAAGAACATATTTCCACATGGACATAATAAAAGTACAACACTAATATATATATATATATATATATATATATATATATATATATATATATATATATATATATATATATATATATATATATATATATATATATATATATATATATATATATATATATATATATATATATATATATATATATATATATATATATACACACACACACATATATATATATATATATATATATATATATATATATATATATATATATGCCTAAGGCACAACTCTCCTAAACACGAGAGTTAAGTATACAATAATACTGAATGTATACTGATTGTATACTTAACTCTCGTGTTTAGGAGAGTTGTGCCTTAAGCAGAGACACTGTGTCTTCCCATATTAACAGGGACTTGATGAAATTAACGTCTAAATGACCCCTCACTTGCTCTGGTGCTCTTGGGAGGTGTTGATCTTTGGGGGATTTAAATACTCCGAAATTACCATCTCTTTTAAGGGTCTGAGCGGTGGTGCAGAGGGTTAAGGCGTACCTGTTATGCCAGTTGCTGGAAGGCTTCTGTGCTGGCTAGGGTTCGAGTCTCCTGGTGGGAAAGTGTTCTAAAGTTGTATATATATATATATATATATATATATATATATATATATATATATATATATATATATATATATATATATCTATATACACACATATATATATACACACATATATATATACACAAATATATATACACACATATATATATACACATATATATATATGTGTATATATATATATATATATATATATATATATATATATATATATATACATATATATATATATATATATATATATATATATATATATATATATATATATATATATATATATATGTCGTACCTAGTAGCCAGAACTCACTTCTCAGCCTACTATGCGAGGCCCGATTTGCCTAATAAGCCAAGTTTTACTGAATTAATATATTTTCTCTAATTTTTTTCTTATGAAATTATAAAGCTACCCATTTCATTATGTATGAGGTAAATTTTTTTTATTGGAGTTAAAATCAACGTAGATATATGACCGAACCTAACCTACCCTACCTAACCTAACCTAACCTATCTTTATAGGTTAGGTTAGGTTAGGTAGCCGAAAACGTTAGGTTAGGTTAGGTTAGGTAGGTTAGGTTGTCGAAAAAACATTAATTCATGAAAACTAGGCTTATTAGGCAAATCGGGCCATGCATAGTAGGCTGAGAAGTGAGTTCTGGCTACTAGGTACGACATATATATATATATATATATACATATATATATATATATATATATATATATATATATATATATATATATATATATATATATATATATATATATATATATATATATATATATATATATATATATATATATATATATATATATATATATATATATATATATATATATATATATATATATATATTAGTATATTTTGGTAGCAGTCTTTCCTGTAGACATATATTATTAAATATGACCGAAAAAGTAAGATTAATAATTCTAACACGAATTTTCTCGATCATTCTTATGTTTCTTTTCACTGTTGATGGTAATTGAAAAACCACTTCTCCATAATTAATTTTTATTTCTAGTCTGACGCGACACTTGAACGCGTTTCGTAAAACTTAATACACTTTCAAAGACTTTAGTTTACACACACACAGCTGAACTATAACTGAATAGAGCTTAAACATCTTCGATTTTTTATACCTGCATTTGGGTGAGGTGATATGTTACAACAGTTTTGGATGAGGGAAAAACAAACTTTCAACACAAGACAGAGCACGAAATAATGGGTATTGAAGGTAAGAATGGAAGTAATTGCAGAGGGCCTATTGGCCCATATTTCTTGATGCTTCTATATTGGAGCGGAGTCTTGAAGTGGGTAGAATATAGTAGTGCATCAATTGGCTATTGATTGCTGGTGTTGACTTCTTGATGTGTAGTGCCTCGCAGATGTCAAGCCGCCTGCTACCGATGTATCTATCGATGATTTCTGCGTTGTTTGCTAAGATTTCTCTGGTGATGGTTTGGTTGTGGGAAGAGATTATATGTTCCTTAATGGAGCCCTGTTGCTTATGCATTGTTAAACGCCTGGAAAGAGATGTTGTCTTGCCTATATACTGAGTTTTTAGAGGCTTACAGTCCCCAAAAGGGCATTTGAAGGCATAGACGACGTTGGTCTCATTTAAAGCGTTCTGCTTTCTGTCTGGAGAGTTTCTCATGAGTAGGCTGGCCGTTTTTTTGGTTTTATAGTAAATCGTCAGTTGTATCTTCTGATTTTTGTCTGTAGGGATAACGTTTCTATTAACAATATCTTTCAGGACCCTTTCCTCCGTTTTATGAGCTGTGGAAAAGAAGTTCCTGTAAAATTGTCTAATAGGGGGTATAGGTGTTGTGTTAGTTGTCTCTTCAGAGGTTGCATGGCGTTTCACTTTCCTTCTTATGATGTCTTCAACGAAACCATTGGAGAAGACATCTCCACATGACCATTGGAGAAGCCATCTCCACATGACCATTGGAAAAGCCATTAGTCTAATAGACTATTTTACAGGAACTTTTTTCCACAGCTCATAAAACGGAGGAAAGGGTTCTGAAAGATATTGTTAATAGAAACGTTATCCCTACAGACAAAAATCAGAAGATACAACTGACGATTTACCCCAGAATTCCTACCTCTCTTAATGGCTTTGAAGTATGGTGTAGTGGATACAGCGTGCAACTGCCACCTTGTTGGCGAGTGTTCGAGTCCCCTGGTGGGTTGAGTGTCTAAAAAAGTTATAAACTTCAGCTACTGGAACAGGGTAGTCTGTGAATATATATATATATATATATATATATATATATATATATATATATATATATATATATATATATATATATATATATGCGAACAAGCCTGAATGGTCCCCAGGACAATATGCAACTGAAAACTCACACCCCAGAAGTGACTCGAACCCATACTCCCAGGAGCAACGCAACTGGTTTGTACAAGACGCCTTAATCCACTTGACCATCACGACCGGACATAATGAGGTGATAGCCGAGGCTATATGAACCACCCCACCGCTGGCACTCGGATAGTAATCTTGGGCATAGCATTTTACCAAATCACCTCATTCTTTGGGGCACACGTGAGGAACACAAATGCGAACAAGCCTGAATGGTCCCCAGGACAATATGCAACTGAAAACTCACACCCCAGAAGTGACTCGAACCCATACTCCCAGGAGCAACGCAACTGGTATGTACAAGACGCCTTAATCCACTTGACCATCACGACCGGACATAATGAGGTGATAGCCGAGGCTATATGAACCACCCCACCGCTGGCACTCGGATAGTAATCTTGGGCATAGCATTTTACCAAATCACCTCATTCTTTGGGGCACACGTGAGGAACACAAATGCGAACAAGCCTGAATGGTCCCCAGGACAATATGCAACTGAAAACTCACACCCCAGAAGTGACTCGAACCCATACTCCCAGGAGCAACGCAACTGGTATGTACAAGACGCCTTAATCCACTTGACCATCACGACCGGACATAATGAGGTGATAGCCGAGGCTATATGAACCACCCCACCGCCGGCACTCGGATAGTAATCTTGGGCATAGCATTTTACCAAATCACCTCATTCTTTGGGGCACACGTGAGGAACACAAATGCGAACAAACCTGAAGAATCCAAGAATATATATATATATATATATATATATATATATATATTAGTATATTTTGGTAGCAGTCTTTCCTGTAGAAATATATTATTAAATATGACCGAAAAAGTAAGATTAATAATTCTAACACGAATTTTCTCGATCTTTCGTACATTTCTTTTCACTGTTGGTGGTAATTCAAAAATCAATTCTCCAAAATTCATTTTTATTTCTAGTCTGACGCAACACTTGAGCGCGTTTCGTAAAACTTATTACATTTTCAAAGACTTTAGTTTACACATACACAACTGAATAGAACTTACACATCTCCGATTTGTTTATATCTACATTTGAGTGAGGTGGATGGGGTGAGGTGGCAATAATAGGGTATTAATTTCATCAACACAAGACAGAACACGAAACAATGGGTATTGAATGGAAGTGATTGTAGAAAGCCTATTGGTCCATATTTCTTGATGCTTCTATATTGGAGCGGAGTCTTGAGGTGG